GAAACTACTGTTTACTGGATATTTCACAGGTTCGGGTATCTTGAAGACATCGTAAAATTGCTCAATGATGACATCGTGCACATAAATTAGGATATTTTATTCGAAAATCACCAGAGAGATGGGAAAAAGTAGTCGCTTCCAATGGACAATAATTCGAGTAATATATTTTTTACTTTACTCTTAATGAAATACAAATAAAATAAACAAAAGAAATAAAATAAAATACAATTAGTTAAAATTATATTGAATAAAAATATAGCAAAGTAAAATAAAATAAGGTAAAATAAAATTAAATGAAATTAATGAAATAAAGTGAAATAAAATAAAATAATATAAAATAAAACAAAATAAAATCCAATTAGCTAAAATTATATTACATACAAATTTAGCACAATTAAATTAAATAAAATAAAATAAAGTGAAATAAATCAATATAAAACAAAATAAAATATATAAATTATTATTTAAAGTAGTTTAAACGATTTATTTATTTGTGATACCACAAGATCATTCACCTACTTTCGCCCTATCCTATTAAATATGTTTTGCTTTGGGAAAAAATATTCGTAACATCCTGCTAATTTGTAATTTTTAACATCAATTAACAAATTTTCATCATAACCATCACTTATTTGTATGAGAAATGTCTAAAGCACATACTGGTATGTGCATATGTGTATAAATAAATTATTTCCAAGCCAAAAGTTGTAAACACAAAAATTTAGAACTGTCAGAAAATAACCTTTGAATATTTCTTATAATCAAATTATATTAATTGAAGCTGTAATTAATAAGAGAATTTTAAATTTTCTGCAAAGCCATGCAGGCAGTCTACTAAAATTCAAAGTCTACTTTAGATAAATCATATCTTTTTTGTTATTGCTGCTTTTATTTAAGTAAAATGCTTGTATAACCCGATAAGCAACTGTAATTATATTTAATACAAAAATAATAACAAATAAAAGTATTTAAAATGCAGTCATATATACACTTAAATTGAGTGCAGTGGCGATAAATGCATTGAATGAATGTTGAACTCAAACGATAAAAAATAATAATCAGCTGATTGAGTGTAAAACAAATTTAACACAAATGAGAGATAAGAAAAAAAAAATAAAAACAAACATAAGACAATGTAAAACTATTAACTCTGCAAGCCAAGCCAATAATCATATTACATTGTAAGTGAGTGGAATAGCTGATGCCGGTGCATGCGAAAATAAATAAATAAATAAATGCATAAATACATGCACATCTACATATGTACATATGTACTTGTTTAAATACATTTTATTACTTTAGTAAACATAGTAGAAATTTTAATTAATTTTGATTTATATTGCTGTTACCGTGATGGTATAATAATGTCACTTTTAATAAATTGAAATTACGTTTTTTCACATACATACACATGTATTTATATAAATACACTTTTCATTGAAAAGTTTCCGCGCGCTTTTTAGAAACAGTGCAGAAGAATTCAACGTCAATGATATCTAAAACAATATAAAATTTGTTTCTGTTGTTGATTGATGAGCACTTTCCTAGAGGGATGCATGCGTATGCAAATAAATACAATAACATGGTTTTTATTTTTGTTTTTTTTTTCATTAATATTTTATCTAATGTTTTGTCATGCTTGTGTTACTCTTTTGTTTTATATTTTTATGGCGTCATTTGTCATAATCTTATCGGCAGTAGTACTTCGCCACAACTTAGTTAATGTTACCAAGCAGTTAATAATTCATACAAAAATATAATAAAATGAAACGAAATGAAATAAAATAGAAATTAATCAAATAAAATATTATAAAATTAAATTAAATGAAAATAACATAAATTAAAATAAAATTAAATTAAATTAAATGAAAATAACATAAACTAAAATAAAATAAAATAAAATAATATAAAATAAAATAAAATAAAATAAAATAAAATAAAATAAAATAAAATAAAATAAAATAAAATAAAACAAAATAAAATAAAATAAAAAAAAATTTAATGATAATAATAAAAAAATAATTGCTATATGCATTAAATTAAGTTGGTCGAAATTAAATTATAATTATATTTAGCTAAATAAATTAAAAAAAGAAATTAAAAATTAGTTAAATTCAAATAAATAATAAAAAATATAATAATAAAATAAACCAAGAAAAATAAAATTAAATAATATGTAATAAAATAAACTAAAATAAAGTAAAAAAATAAAATAAGAAATAAAATAAAATAAAAATAAATAATATAAAAGAAAATTAAATGTAGTAAATAAAATAAAAATAAATAAAATAAAATAAAACAAAATAAAAGTAAAAAAAAAATAAAAGTAATTAAAATAAAATAAGAGAAAGCCAAATAAAATAAAATAAAATTAAGTTAAATTAAATTAAATTTAATGAAATAATCTAAATCCAACTAAAATTAAATTAAATAAGAAATAATAATTGCTATATGAATTACATTAATTAATATAAAACAAAATAAATTTAAATAAAAAAAGTTGTAATTATTAAATGAATTAAGTGAAATTAGTCAAATTTAAATTATAATTATATTTAGCTATTGTAAATAAATAAAAATTAAATATATTAAAAATTAATTTAAATAATATAAAATAAGCAATAAAAAAAATAAAAAATAAAAAATAAATAAAATAAAATGATAAAAACTAAAATCCAAAAATATTAAGTAGGCAAATGGCCGAGTATGGTATGCGTGGGGTCGAGTGCTGATATGTTGCCAAGCAGCCCTATCATACCTTTCGGTCGCTTCTGGCCGTTATCCACGCAATACGCGGCCCAAATGCATGAATTGTAAAAGATAACGTTTCGCATCAATGATTTCACCTGATTTCAGCAGCACTAAGGCGCTATTTGCCTTAAATCACCACATGGCAAGCTTTCGTTGGGATTCGCTACCAAGATCGTCCACAACTTATGAACGGAACTATATTATTTTAATGTATTTTATTTTGTTTTCAAAAATTATTTTCCCTCACTTAACTTTATTATATTTTAGCTAATTATTTTATAAAATTTTTATTTTATTCGATTTTTTTATTAGCTTGAATTTAAATTTTTTTTTAGTTTTTTTTTTAATTTTTATTAGCTTAAAATTAAATTGAGTGAATTAAACTAAAATTTATTTAAATAAAATAAAATAATTAAATTAGAACAATTATAATAAATTAAAAAAAAATAAATAAATTTGAAAATAAAAATGAACATAATAAAATGTATTGAAATGAAATGGAATGGATTAAAGTAAAATAAAAAAAAAAATTAAATAAAAAATTAAATTAAAAAAAAAAATAAAAAAATAAAAAAAAATAGAAATGGAAAAAATTTCCGACCATCACTTAACTTATTTTATATTAGTTTTCTGCTTAAACATATTCACTTCATGTATATTTGTATAGCTTACACTTTATAAACACGTCTTTTTTATTATAATCTTTATTTGAAAAATCAGTTGTAAGGCAGTTAAATGTCGATTTCGGTGATTTTATCATCTGATTAATTATAAGATTTATAGACCAAAATCGTATATTTTATTCAGTTATCTCAAAACAATCCAACGAGATACGAACATGACTAAATCCGCTAACCCTGGTGATATCGCTGTAAATAACATAGCGAAGGTATTTCTAAGCACTTTCTTTCAAAAGCTTAAATACACACATACATACATACACACATCAGGCTAAATTTATTTTATCATTTCATGTTCACATGAAAGGTATAAAACATCAGTAAGAAAAAATATAACAAATATTTCGCCTAAATTTCTAGTTTTTTTTAAATAAAAAACGAACAAAAAAATTCTTGTTTTTTGAATCAATGATATAATAAGAGTTCAATAAAAATAATTGCTTTTCAAAAAAAAACTTAGTTTTTTATTTCAAATTTTTTCTTTTGTCTACAAAAAGAAGTGAGTTTTGGCCAAAATTTTGAGTTTTGGCTGCAATTTAAAAACTGTGTAGATCAAATCATCAAAATCATCACTGTGAACATATGTATTTATCTACATACACACATATATTACTTCTACGAATGCTTCTGCATTTGCTTTTGTGCTATTAGGTTGCCTTTATTATCAATTTTTTTGATTTAGTTATTTTTTTTTTTTGTTTTATTTAGTTTTTTTTTTATATATTTATTTCATTTTTTTTTTTAATTTTTTTGTTTTATTTATTTTTTTCTTTATTTTTTAATAATTTATTTATTTTTTTTTATTTATTTTTTTTTTTAATAATTTTTTATTTATTTTTTCATTTTTTATACATTTATTTATTTTTATTTTTACTCAATTTTTTTCTTTTGAAAATCTTTATCAGAAAAATGCAATAAAATATATACCATAAATTTTTCTAAAACAAAAATAAAATTTATTTTCATCTTTAAATATCGATCTTTCAAAGACTTTTTGAATTTTCTTCGAATTTTGTACATGAAATTAAAAAAAAGACCTTAACATTTACTTTCAAACACTGTTAAGTAAGTATATACAAATTTTTGTCAACAAAGGCAGTGCTACGTAGAGCATAAAACCGGTTAATTTGTTTTTTTTTTCAATTTTTTTTATCAAAATATTTTCAATTATTAAAAGTATTCACACACAGCGATTGACTCAATTAATTACTTTGCTTTCTAATAATTTATTTTACGCTTTGCTCTTTCATTTCCTTAAATTAGGTCAATATTTAATGCATTGTTGATTTACTGCATTTTTGTTTTGTTTTTTTTTTTTCATACACATTGCACAAACATACACGCCGCAAAGCAAAATAGAGATACACACGTACATAACAAAAACACATTTTCATTAGATTTTATTTAAATTTAGTAACAGTTGCTGCGATTGGTGTGTTTGTACATATATTTTATTTGTGTAAATGTGTCACATTAAAATATATATATATATATATATATATATATAATATACATCTTCATATGTGTATACATATATACATGTATTAGAGGTGTTTTATTTTGATTTACTTGCAGTTGTTGCTTTTGTACTCTTCACTTCTTTATTCAAATTTGTATTTCTTTTTTGTTACTTTTTAAATGACAACAAACCAACAAAGAAAAACGCTTCAAAACGCATTCAATGTTTCAGCCGAGTACGTTTATTTTTCCGACGTCTATTCGAATACACGCTTCCCAACTGACTATTCACGCTCAACTAGTGACTGTTGTCTGTTTTGGTGTTGCTTGTGGTTTGCTTGCATTAACAAATTCCCAATGACATTGAGGCGAGTGAGTGCGCCTGATAGGAGTGTTTCACCATTGCGTCATTAATGCTCTCCCACCCAGTGCGAGTACTTGTACTTTTAACGCGTCGCTCTCACAATTTTACTCTTTTATTTTATAGCATTTTATTTTACTTCTTCAATGGGTACACGATTTTGGGTTAACAACTTCAGGCACGCGATCAACTGAAATGCATTAAAACAAAATTTATGCATACATACATATATATATATATATTTATATATATATATTTATATATATATATTTATATATATATACGTATGTTATGTGGAAGGTGAGGTAAGTATGTGAGGCATAATATATACCCTATACTTGACCCGTGTTTTGGCGTTGAAAATTAAACAAAATTTATTTGACCTCAGTTACTTCTTGGAAAACCAATAAATGCAAATAATTAAAATTTTATTTTAATTAGAACTTGACACTTAATTAATACATATTTATTGTATTTCATATATTTCACTCTTTACTTTTCATTTGAAAAACATTTTCAGTTTTCAGTAATTCAAAATCCAATTGTTTATTTTATTTATATTTCATTTAATTTTAATTTTTTCTTAAATTAATTATTATTATTGTACGAATTCTGTAAATCAATAAATATTTAAAATTTTATTTAAAGCAATTAAATGTATTTGAGTCTAAAATGGGTAATCTGAACTCCACCACATGAAGTCTGTTGAAGCTGAAGGAGGTGATATGTATTGTGTTTGACGCTGTAATGATACGAGAGTGAAAATGTATAAAATAACACAGTTTATTTCAAAAAGTAAACAAATAAAATGTTTTCAAATTTACGGAAGCATGCTTGGTGTGTAGGCGGCAATTTCTGAAAATTATTCTGCAAAATAAAAACATGATATAAAATAAAATTAAATTAAACTAAACAAAATAAAATAAAGCACCACAAATTAATATTAAATAAATTTAAATTATCATAATAGATTAACTTAAATTAAAATAAAAGAAAATAATATAAAAAATTATATAAAATTATATTAATAAATTAAAATATATTAAATTAAATTAAATAGCATAAAAAATAAATATAACATATATTAAATAAAATAGAAAAAAATTAAATTAAATTAAAATAAATTAAGTCAAAATTGATTAACTTAAATTGAAATAAATTAAAATAATATGAAATAGAATAATAGAAAATTAAATTAAATAAAATAATATAAAAGTGAATATTATAAAAGGAAATTAAAATAAATTAAATCAAAATGGATTAACTTAATTAAAATAAAATAAAGTAACATAAAATAAAATATTATAAAAAAGAATAATATAAAATAAAAGAACATTAAATTAAATTAAGATAAATTAATTTCAATTAAACAACATAAAATAAAATTAACATAAATTAAGTAATATAGAATAAAATAAAACTAAATTAAATTGAAATGGTTTGATTTAAGTTAAAATAAAATAATGTAAAATAAAATGCAATGAAATTAAAAAACTTAAAATTAAATTAAATTAAATAGAATAAAACTAAACTAAATTGAAACAAATTGAATTAAATAGATTAAATTAAATTAAAATAAAATAAAATAATGTAAAATGAAATACTATGAACCTAAATTATGTTAAATAAAATAAAATTAAATGACATAAAATTAAATTAACTAGAATACAATTAAGTTAAAAAAAAATGAAATAAAATTAAATTAAAATGAATTAATTAAAATAGATTATATTAAGTTAAAATAAAATAATTTCAATATAATGAAATTTAAATAGGTAAAATAAAATAAAATAAAATAAAATAGAATAAAATAAAATAAATAAAACAAAAATATAAATTAAAATAAAATCAAACATAATAAAGTAAAATGCAATTAAAATAAAATAGAATTAAAAAAGAACGAATAAAATAATGTCAAATAAAATTAATGTTATAAAATAAAACAAAATAAAATAAGCATGCAAAGCTAAAGAATAAAGAGTAAACGAAAAAAAAACCAAAAATAATAAAAAAATAAAAAAATTCAATAAAATAAAGTAAAATAAAAATATAAATTAAAATAAAACAAACCAAGAAAAAATAAAAAAAAAATAAAATAAAATAAAGTAATAGAACTAAATTAAATTAAATTAGATTAGATTAAGTTGAATAAAATAAATAAAATAAGAAAAATTTAAATAAAACAGATAAAAACTGGAATTTTAAAATAATAATAAGAAAACGGCAACTAAATATTGTTCGCACTTTTTATTTAAAACAAAAAATATTATAATAAACATTTTGTATATTTATTTATAATCAAAATATTGACAACAAATAATTAAAGAAATATATAAAACAATATAGTTTATTAAATGCTAAGATGATGAACAAAATGTTGTTTTGTTTCTTTAGAAAATTCATAATTTTGCTCCATTAAGGTATATTTATGTGTTATTAAAATTTAATACGCGAATGATTTGCATTAAACTCCACAAACCAGCGTACTCTAGGATTTCATGGCATTCTAGAACCTTTCATGTGCAAAAAAAAAATTTGCAAGTACTTGATAACAATTATTTATTATTTCAGTTTTTGAAGTACTATTAGTGGTTATTGAAATTTTTTTAATTGCTTTATTAAAATGTAATACATTACTTAATTAATCTAACCAAAAATATGCAAACGTCGAGACCTTTGAACTGTAGTGCATTTCCATTGGGAAAGGAGTGTTGACCAATTTATTTTCGGTGCTTTGTAATCGCCCTGGCAGTTTTAATAGCAGAAAAATGCCATACTTTTACAAAAATAAACTTGAATACCACTAACAGTTACGTGATTTATGAAATACTCAACAATGTATACTAAAAATAATTAACAGTCCATAATTAACCTTTTAGACCACTCTAATCTTTACATAAAGTTCTAATCTGCTTGGTATTATACTAAAAAATCTAATCGAACTTTTCTTGAAAATATAGCTTAAAAAACACAATGCAATACAGTCTTAGGGAGAGCCAGCATAAAAATCTCTCGAAAATTAGTCATAAATTCCGCTTTAATACAGCCATCTGCGCCAATATGCTTGGATCAACAGCCATACTCAACTCGCCAAAACTCTGCTCCACCCTATTCGCCGACACGCCTGCTATACAAGTACTCAAAACATTGCCCGGCTCAAGGCAATGCGTTTCTTCAACCGAACTCAAACATTTCGTTTGAAAAGGCGTTGAGTATGCGAAAAATAGTAGCAGCACGTGTGCGCACAGTGTATGCAGCGTACGGTGCGTAGATTTGGAAATGAATTTACGTTGTCGCTGTTGCTGCCACATATCAAAATGAAACTCACCAACATATTGGAGCAGTAGCTGTAAGTCTTCTATCATTTTTGGTGTACAACGTGGTAGTAAAGCTGCCATAATATCGCCATGTACCATCGTACGCAACTGTGTTGTACGGAGTTTCGCTTGTAAATAGGATTGCCCGATGCTCGAGCATTGCAGTTGATATTCAGCAATATTTAATGCGGTTACTTCACTAAAGTAATCTAATTTCTCTAATCTACGACAAAAGAAACGCTTGAGACCTGCTGGTGTACACATACGAGTTGGACCTTTTGGTGAGGGCAACGATGGTGTCACTAGATTAGGTGAGTGTATTGGTGTGTTGGTAAAAGTGTGCTTTACACAAATATTTACCTGTAACATATCGTTGGTTGTATTTGTTAATGGGTGTTTGTTTTCGGTAAGTAGGTGTGTATGTTGTTGCAGCGAATTTGTGATGCCGACTTCTTGTACTCCATATTCTGACGATTGCTGCTGCCGTTTGGTGTTTTCGTTTTCTTCACTGCCAGCGCAGCGCAGCGTCTACATGAGAAGAAGAACGTTAACGGTGTAAAAGCCACAACGACACTTTTCTTTGATAATATGTATGTATGTGCAATACATTATATTCAACTATTACACTAGAAGGTTAACTTAAAAAAAAACTGTTGTTTATGTATTTAAATAGTTTCATGTTTTACAGCGAATTTGTGTAAATTTGAAAGTCTGCCAAATCAGCGGCAACAGCATCCTGGTTTTGAGCTATTTTATTTACCTGTAGAGTATCCACTAATTGACAGACATGTTGTTGTTGTTGGGTTGACGATAACAACTGATATGACTGGTTTTGCTGTTGCTGCTGGTGTTCTGCATCCACGTTAAGCAACGCAAGGGGTTGAGAGATTTGCATGGGTGGCTCATAGTGTTGTTGCTGATGCCGCTCCATCATCAGTGTCTGATTATACGGCATCAATTGTTGCTCTGGTAGCTGTAGCTGGGAAAATTGTTGTTGTAACAGCTGCGGCTGCTGTTGCAATTGTCCCGGCTGCTGTTGCAATTGTCCCTGCTGTTGTTGCAGTTGTTGTAGTTGAGCTTGCTGTTGCAATAGTTGCAGTTGGGATTGTTGTAGAGGCTGTTGTAGAGGCTGTTGTTGTTGCAATTGTGGTATTTGCAATTGCTGTAGTTGTTGTGGTAGTTGCATTTGTTGTTGTTGCTGCTGCTGCTGATGCTGTTGCAATATATCTGGACGCAAAAACACCAATGGCTGTGACGAGTTTCGGTCAAATACCTGTATTTGCTGCGGCAGTTGTAGCATTTGAACCTGCAATTGCTGTTGTTGTTGTTGTTGTTGTAGTTGCTGATGTTGTAGCTGTTGTTCGTGCTGACATCGTTGCAATTGAATTCCCTCAAGTATGCGAAACAACTCGGAACTATTAAATAATGTATTATCACCGCTCAACGAAAAAACAAAGGAGTTATTGCCGCCGCTGACGTTGTTAACATTGCTTACAGACACCGGTAGCGCGAGCAACACAGGTGGCGTAGCTGTTGCTGTTGCTGTTGCTGCTGCCATTGTTGTTGCCGTTGGACTCAAAGCTAAATTATGCGCTGGAATAATTTGTTGACCACCAAATTGATTTTGTAGTTCATCAATCGCTGTTGCTGTTGCTGTTGCTGTAGATGTTGATGTTGATGTTGCTGTTGCTGTTGCTGTTGCTGTTGATGTTACTGTAGACGCCGCGAATTGCGAAAGTGCTTTCTTCGTATTCAAGCCAATGGGTAAGGGCTGAAAAGCATGTGTTAGCTGTGGCACATAATCGCTAATTTTTGCAGCTTTTCGCAATGTTGTTGTTGTTGTTGTAGCTCTTGCCTGCTTTACGGTTTTCGTTTTAGTTGCAGTTGACGTTGTTGTTGTGGATCGATTAGCTGGCTGATTTAAGGGTGGCAGATTTGTTGCTGTCAAAGTGCCGGCAGATGATCGGAGCACAAGTTGCTCCTGAATCTGTGTGCTGGTACGTTGGAGAAGTATTTCTGGATGGGAGTATTGTTGCAGCTGTTGTTGTAGTTTTTTGTGTTCATTAGTAAACAAATTTTGCTGTTTTTGTCCTTGTTCATGACACTGTTGTTGTTCACGCCGTTGTTGTTGTTGTTGTTGTTGTTGGTGGTGGTGGTGGTGTTGTCGTTGATGTTGCTGTTGTTGTTGTTGTTGTTGTTTTATTAAAGTTTGATCCTGCTGCTGCTGTGGTTTTTGTTGCTTTTGTGATCTGCTCTCTTCTAGAGTAACTATTGGCTGTTGCTTCTCATCAGTTTGTTGTTGTTGTTGTTGTACCACGGATTCTTGTTGCTGATGTTGAAGTTGCTGATATTGCGTGGTGACTTTCAGCAACCATTTAGTTAAGTCCTCACTTTCTGCTTGTTGGGTATGTTTTTGTTGAGTTGGTTGATGTTGTTTTTGTTGAGTTTGTTCCCGTTGATGAGACTGACTCTTTTCTTCTTGCTGTACACATTGCTGTGTACGCGGCTGTTGTAATGTATTTAGCTTGGTGCCTTCCTTTTCGACCGGTAATTGTTGTGATTTTTCAATTTTTTGCGTTTCACCAGTTTTTTCTTGTTCTCTTTGCTCAGATTTTTGATGGGTTTTTTGAGATTTTCGAATTGTTTGTTGTTGTTGTTGTTGTTCCTGCTGCTGCTGTTGTTGCTGTTGTTGTTGTATGTGCTGCAACGACGGTTCTTGAGCTAACATTTTTTTGCGTTGTATTGATTGTAGTTCGAATGAACTTTGTTGCTGTTGATGAGCTGTAAATGCCTCGGTCTTTTCAAAAGACCTTTGCGTATTTTCTTCTTCATTTTGTTGTTGTCCTTTGGAAATCTGCTCATCTGCTAATTGATTTAATTCCTTTTCCTTTTGTTGTTCTTGTAATGTTGAATTTTCCATTTGCTGTTTCTGTTGTTGTAGCAATGTTGAACTCTGTATTGGTTGTTGGCGTTCGTTTTGTTGCCTTTGCCTCGTAGATATTTGTAATTGTTGTTGCTCATTTTCTACGGATTTCCGTTGATGTCTAGTTTTTACCGATTGCTGTGATTTCTTTTCTAGCGATTGTTTTTGTTGTTCGTTTTCTTTCGATTGTTTTTGTTGATTATTTTCTATCGATTTTTCTTGTTGTTGATCACTTTTTATCGATTTTTCTTGTTGATTATTTTCTATCGATTTTTCTTGTTGATTATTTTCTATCGATTTTTCTTGTTGATTATTTTCTATCGATTTTTCTGGTTGGATATTTTCTATCGATTTTTCTTGTTGTTGATCACTTTTTATCGATTTTTCTTGTTGATTATTTTCTATCGATTTTTCTTGTTGATTATTTTCTATCGATTTTTCTTGTTGATTATTTTCTATCGATTTTTCTGGTTGGATATTTTCTATCGATTTTTCTTGTTGTTGATCACTTTTTATCGATTTTTCTTGTTGATTATTTTCTATCGATTTTTCTTGTTGATTATTTTCTATCGATTTTTCTTGTTGATTATTTTCTATCGATTTTTCTGGTTGGATATTTTCTATCGATTTTTCTTGTTGTTGATCACTTTTTATCGATTTTTCTTGTTGATTATTTTCTATCGATTTTTCTTGTTGATTATTTTCTATCGATTTTTCTTGTTGATTATTTTCTATCGATTTTTCTGGTTGGATATTTTCTATCGATTTTTCTGGTTGGATATTTTCTATCGATTTTTCTTGTTGTTGTTCTTTTTCTATGGATCTTTGTTGATGTCTAGTTTTTACCGATTGTTGTGGTTTCTTTTCTAGCGATTGTTTTTGTTGTTCGTTTTCTTTCGATTGTTTCTGTTGATTATTTTCTATCGATTTTTCTTGTTGTTGACCACTTTCTATCGATTTTTCTTGTTGATTATTTTCTATCGATTTTTCTGGTTGGTTATTTTCTATCGATTTTTCTTGTTGTTGTTCATTTTCTACGGATTTTCGTTGATGTCTAGTTTTTACCGATTGCTGTGATTTCTTTTCTAGCGATTGTTTTTGTTGTTCGTTTTCTTTCGATTGATCACTTTTATCACTTTTTATCGATTTTTCTTGTTGGTTATTTTCTATCGATTTTTCTTGTTGGTTATTTTCTATCGATTTTTCTTGTTGGTTTGCATTTTCTACAGATTTTCGTTGATGTCTAGTTTTTATCGATTGTTGTGGTTTCTTTTCTAGCGATTGTTTTTGTTGTTCGTTTTCTTTCGATTGTTTTTGTTGATTATTTTCTATCGATTTTTCTTGTTGTTGTTCATTTTCTACAGATTTTCGTTGATTTCTAGTTTTTACCGATTGTAGTGGTTTCTTTTCTAGCGATTGTTTTTGTTGTTCGTTTTCTTTCGATTGTTTTTGTTGATTATTTCCTAACGATTTTTCTTGTTGTTGGTCCTTTTCTATCGATTGTTTTTGTTGACTATTTCCTATCGATTTTTCTTGTGGTTGATCCTTTTCTATCGATTGTTTTTGTTGGTTATTTTCTATCGATTTTTCCTGTTGTTGATCATTTTCTATCGATTGTTGTTGTTTTTTATCTTCTATCGATTGTTGTTGTTGTTTATCTTCTATCGATTGTTGTTGTTGTTTATCTTCTATCGATTGTTGTTGTTGTTGTTTATCTTCTATCGATTGATGTTGTTTTTTATCTTCCATCGATTGTTGTTGTTGCTGATCATTTTCTATCGATTGTTGTTGTTTGTTATTTTCTATCGATTTTTCTTGTTGTTGTTTATCTTCTGTTGTTTGTTATTTTCTATCGATTTTTCTTGTTGTTGTTTATCTTCTGTGGATTGTTGTTGTTTGTTATTTTCTATCGATTTTTCTTGTTGTTGTTTATCTTCTATCGAATGTTGTTGTTGATCATTTTCGATCGATTGTTGTTGCTGGTTATTTTTCAACAATTGTTGATGTTTTTTTAAAGCCACTGCCGCACTTTTTAATTTCTTCGCGCGTTGCTGTTGTTGTTGCTTTTCTTTTTGTTTTCGCTTTTGTAACAACAAATTAGCTTCGAAAATTCGTGTCATTGCTGCGTCCAATTGTATCTTTTGTAAAGCCTTTTGTGGTCGTTCCTTCGTTACATCAGCTTGTTTTTGTTGTTGCTCAATTATCTCTTGCTTTACTTGGCGTGAAATTGGCTTTTGCAATGGTGAAATGGTAGGGAGTTCTACTTGTTGATTTTGTCCTTGAACTATACCGTCTCTTCTGGGCTTGGTTTGTGGTTGACCTTCGATTGGTTCCTGCTCCAATGGTGGCGAACTAATCTCATCCGTCTCTCCTTCATTTTGGCCTGCATTCTGTACAAGCGTTTCGCTTTCCCAGTTGCATTGCGTATTCAATTCGTAATTTGGGCTTTCACTTCGCTTATCTCCATTCCTACCTACACCTGATTCGCACGCTACTAATGAGGTAAAGTCCTGGGTCGCCAAAGTTTCCGAGTTCGAAAGTGGCGATAATAACTGCTCCGTCGACTGTGCGGACGCTGCGGAGGTATCCAAATCGACTACATCGTCTGGTAATGGCACACACTCATAGTTTTCCTCATCTTTGGTGAGATTGAATTGCAATTTATTGAGTGGTTCAAGTTTCTCTTCTTTGATGGCCTTGCCAGGCAGTGGAAAGGGTTCAGCTATAAAGAGAAAGAAAGAGAGAAGGAGAGAGAGAGAGATATTTTGAAAGGATTTCAAATTATGCAAATCTTGTTGAAAAAAGTTAAAAGTGAGATATGTGCGAGGTCAGGAGGTACAATGAGAACGCCATTCATTAGTCTGTCGTTGCTAATACTGAAACAGCTTGTCTCAGTAGGTATACACTTTCTAACCATGGTCTTAAATCTATTACGGTCGGGAAGAGAGCATCCAGTACTGAAGTCAAAAGAAACTGGCAATACAAAAAGGTGATTAATATCCTCAAATATATCTCCTTTCACCAAAAATTTAAAATACTGGACACTTGCTTCTATCACCTTTTACTCGCAAAGTATCACTATCACCGGAGAGAACGCTTTAAACACCCAGATAACTCGTGTCTCTCAAACAAAGTAACGGCGACCTCTTAAATCCCTACAACGACAGCAACAAGCATGGAGCAACAAACAGTTTAAAGCCGTGTCCGAATGACACGGGATGAGTGCAATCGACCGTCATTGATTCTTCTCCTGGCCAGATTTGACCATAGGGCTTTTTATTTTTATTTAAGCGGCTAGTTAACCTAACTAGGACTCATACTAGTAGAAACGGACCATAGAAAGGTTTTAGATCAGACTTCAGAGGTGAAGGAAAGTACTGTTTAAAGCCTTTTGAGGACATATTGCTTGAAGAAAATAAGTTTATATATGCAGTCTGTATATACTATGAGAGCCTGGAAACGGGGTTTCAATCAAAACAAATATGGATAAATGGTCCAAACCGCAATAGAAGTTTTCGTACTCAAATTGTATACTTACGGATTGGCCTCAATGCTGTATTGGGCACAACGGTCTGTAAATCAGTTAAAGTGGCAAGTAGTCTTTCTGCAATCAATAAAAAAAAAATATATATATATATATATACATGAAACATATTTATTTTGAGAAAAAATTTCATAAATAAAAACTTACGCGATGTTTGTATCTCCGCATCAACCATACAAACAGTACGCGCATTATTTGTAGGCAACGCTATGGCGCTCGCAGCATGCTCATGCCCAGCACTATTCTCTCGGTCGTGCCCCCCTTTGCTTTTTGGACTCTCAACTACATCGCGCTCACTTTCTGTTATGGCATGTACTACAACCGATTGCTCAAAAACTGTATTTTCATTACTTTCCTCTTTGATAACAGTTTCACTGCGCTCCATCGAATCCTCGCTAAGTATTATAGTTGAAAGCTTCGGCGTATACCATAACCATTTGTCGTAAAACCAACATTTCGTATAAAATTTCTGACGATATGGTTCGCGTAGTGCTTTATTCTTACGCATTTTCTTCCCACTACTTCTATAGTGGTCCCATGCAACTATGTAATCGTAATTGGTTAATGTAGTTAATTCGTGCCAATGTAATAATTTCGGCGAAATATGTTTAAGGTCGGCTTCACTGAGTGTGATATCTTTGGTTTGCAGGTATTTAAAGAGATTAGGTAGATGTATGTAGAGATTAATGGGCCACACTTGTGGCTTCTTTAGCGCATACTCATAACAACGTTGCAAGAGCACTGAGTCATTGTAAATCTCTGCTGCATCGTAAATATGTGTATACTCCTTGAACTCTTCAAAGGACATGCTTAGTATAGCTTGGAGTATATGACGTTTTAAACCATTGTGAAAACGCACGAGATAGGCGAGTGTACATGTCTGAAAAGAGAGAAAAGAAAATAGTTTTTAGTTGTGCGGAAATGTGGTTAAGATGAGAGCTTGCTCACCTTTTCGACTTCTTTAAAATACAATTCTTTGGCTCTTTGTAAGCGCTGTTGCGTAATTATTTCTCTGCCACTTATTTTACAGTCTTGACTTGGTGTCTCATCTAATGCTACTGATGTTGGTGTCTGCTTAGCTGCAGCATCTCTAAGCATGGCATGCTGATTTTCTGTTGATATTTCAACATTCAGCGTAGAATTACAAAAAATTTCTGGTGTTAATTGATCATCTAGTGTCTCTCTGTGCACGGTACTTGTGTCGGCGATAGGTTCAGCAATCACAACATTGATTTGTGCGACATTTTCAGCTTGGTTCGCCACAACACAAGCGTCATCGTTTTGTGCTAAACTAGTTTCGTTAGAATGCTCAGCATTTTTAACTGCCAACGGCGTATTTATACTCTCCTCGGCATGATCTACATCCATTTCATTAGTGTGTGCTTCATGGGTTATCGCTTCTACGATTTCATCAACAGCCTCCGCTTCCGGAGCAGCATTCATTCTTTGTTCCGACTCAACATTCTGATTATTTTCGCATTTATTAGTGCTTTCTGCACCCTCCGTATCTTCATCAACCTCCATTGGCGTTATTCCGTATTTTTCCTTACTAATATTATCCACCGTAATTAATAGTTTCGGCACTTCTCTCAACCAGTTATTATATAACCAACATTTTTCATAAAATGTCTTACGATATATCCCAAAGGAGTCCATATCTTTATCAAATATTTCTCCCTTACAGCGATAATAATCCCAACGCACAATCTCATCGAAATTCGTTATCTCACTCAACTCCTGCCAGTGTAGCAGCATTGGAGAAATATCTTCCAAGTTATCGTCAGCTATATGTACACCTTTTGCTTTCAGATATTCACGCAAATCATTTAATGGCATATACAAATTTTGAGGCCAAATTTGATTTGATTTAATAGTGTAGTGGTAAAGAGTTTCTAGCAATTCAGAGTCATCGTAAATTTCTGCCGCATCATGGATTCTAGTATATTTTTTAAATTCTTCCATTGACATTTCTAATATTGCGGCTATTATATGTCGCTTGAGACCTTTATGAAAACGTAGAGCATATGGAAGCGTATTCGTCTGAAAATGAAGAAGGAGAAGAAACTCAAGACAGACAATTTGAAATATTGTGGGGGAAACACCACACTACCTTTGGGAAAACCTGAAAGAATAAGGCCTTTGCTTGTTGTACGCGTTCTTTTTGCGATAAATCAACTAAAGCCACTTGAGAACTTTTATCGGTGATATCAATTACATTTTCATCTACATCAGCCGACTTCTCTTTTACAGCGAATTCTTGTTTTATTAGGTTCCCTATTCGAGCATATTTGTTTTGTTGTAACAACTCTAAAGCAATACGCTCTAATATTATTTGTTGTTTTCCCTCGTCTGGAACCCGTCGCTTTATATGGGCTTTCAAAAAGTCCAAATTGGCGAAGGCTACACTTTTCGAAATATAAATCTTCTTTGTAGGTCTGCAGACGGTTGGGGTGACTCTAAAGAAAAACCATTGTAACTGTTTTGTTTTCATAAATAACTCAATATTAATTACCTTTGCTGTGGAAGTGAGATTTCTTCTTTTTTAGACGATTGTGCTTCTAAGTTCTCTAGCTGACTCTGAACATTTGTGGCTTCGCAGTGATTAACGCTCTGAGATGATTGCACTTCTACACACTCCTGTTCAATCGGTTTGTCAGCGACATTCAAATTTTTACTTTTTATCAACTCCTGCTCAAGTGGTAGCCTTGTGTCATTTAAAATATCAATGTTCTGAGGTGTCTGCCCTTTTAAAAGATTCAGCGCAACTGGTTTTCCAGCGGCCCACAAATCATCTGAATTGCTAATGGCAGGTAATGAATTATCATTTGTTTCTACTGGTTTACTGTGCTTAATTGTTTGAATGGCAGCGCCTTTACTACATTTATCTGCTGTCATCTTAGCAGCTTCATTGGCGTTGGTATCTAGAAAAATAATAAGATGTCTCAAATATATATTTTATTACCCATCTTTCCCCTACCTCTGTTAGATTCATCAGACAATGTTGGTATCTGCATAATTTTCTTTTTAACAAATGTTGGACAAGCCTTTGTCTCCAGCTGATATACATTTCGTATTTGCGGCTGTTCATAAAACTGTATGTAAAAATTTTTCAATACTCGCTCCTTTATTAATTCATCATTTGTGAAATCGATTCCAGTTGCAACCCTTATATCTTCAAGTATCCGTTTGATTACATTCAAACAATGAGTCATAGTTTTAAATGTACTAAATGATACTGGATAACGCTGTTCATATAATTCTCCAGGGTCTTGAACAAAGGTATTCCAGTTAATGTTTTCATTTGATTTATTGGGAGCACTGAAAGAATGAACATTTTCGACTAAAGGACAAAACATTTGTCTTTGTTACTACACTTACATTGTAGCTTTGAGTTGGAGACAGTCTTTTGAACTGGAGTCCTTGTTCTTAATTTCATCATCATTAGTATTCCTTTTATACGCAAACACTCCACCATCATTACGTTCTGTATCACCATCGGTTAGGTCAACTGTTTTGCGCTGTTTTTTGTTGCGTATGTTTGATGGTTGTGGCGATAAATATCGTTTTATGCCTTGATTGTTATTATTTACTTTTCTAATTTTTTTCATTATAAATATGAAGAAAAAAAATTTAAATTAAATGATGGTTGTAAAAGAAATAGCGCCTCGAAAAAATAATAACTATTTAGATATGTCAAAAGAAAAGCGTTGCCAACTAGCGGAAAATGACATAAAATAGGGGGTGCAGTTACTGAAGAACTTTACTGGCCGTCTTCCTTCCGTTGGCGTTCTATGTGTACTGTTTGAAATTTACTTCGTATTTTAGTTTCCCATTGAATTTCAATATTTTAATTAATGTAACCCATTTTTGACACGCTATGATGTCGCAGAGTAAATATATAATCGATAATACCTACTCAGTCAATATTTACAATATAAGTGATTATTTGCATATTAAGATGTCAAAATTTATGTGAAGGGTATAGATTGAACTAAAAAACTATGACTGCATAAGTTCGTGCCCGATTCCGCTGGATGCCGTTCGAATCGTTTGAGAGTGGCGCCCGTGAAAGAAATATATACATATTATATATCGTTGGAAAGGTGACAGTTCGCACTGTAAATCAAGCATAAAATAACTTCATTTTGATTTGAGTTGCTTAGTGAAAAGACGCATGGAAGATGGACAACGAAAAAGATCATATGCGTCATATTATGTTATACGAATTCCGCAAAGGAAAAACAGTAGGCGCTGCAACTAAAGATATTCGCGAAGTTTATTTGGACCGTGCTCCAGCACTCCGCACAGTAAAGAAATGGTTCGCGAAATTTCGTTCTGGAGATTTTAACCTCGAAGATCAACCTCGCAGTGGACGGCCTTCTGAGCTTGATGACGATGTTCTAAGGACTTTAGTTGCGAATAACTCACGTATTTCGACGGAAGAGGTTGCCAGTGAATTGAACGTCAACAAATCAACTGCGTTTCGTCGTTTAAAAAAGGTTGGGTACACTTTGAAGCTCGATACATGGGTGCCACATCAGTTGAGTGAAAAAAACAAAGTGGACCGTATGTCAACAGCAATTTCTTTGCTTCGACGGATCAAAAACGAACCTTTTTTGGATCGGCTCGTGACTGGTGATGAAAAATGGATCCTGTACAACAATGTTCAACGCAAAAGAACATGGAAACAGGCACACGAAGGGGCGGAACCGATGTCGAAAGGTGGATTGCATCCGATGAAGGTACTGCTGTGCATTTGGTGGGATATCCGAGGCGTGATCTATTTTGAGCTCTTGCCAGCTGGAGAAACGATCACTGCCAACAAGTATTGTCAGCAATTGGTCGAATTGAAGAAAGCAATTGATGAAAAACGTCCGATTTTGGCCAATCGCAAAGGAGTTCTTTTCCATCATGACAACGCCAGGCCACATGTTGCAAAACCGACCCTGGCCAAACTGAAGGAGATGAATTGGGAAATCATGCCGCATCCCCCATATTCACCCGACATTGCACCTTCTGATTATCATTTGTTTCGATCGCTGCAGAACAATTTGAATGGAAAAAAATTTAAAAATGTGGAAGACGTCAAAAACCACCTTGACACCTTTTTCAACGAGAAACCGCGCGATTTCTATGAATCAGGCATCCGTAAATTAGTTGAACGTTGGGAGTGGATTGCCGAACATGATGGCGAATACATAATGCATTAATAAAAGCGCTTTCTTCAAAAAATTTGAATTTTAGTTTGCACTTGAAATCGGGCATGAACTTATGCACTCATCCAATATTCAATATTTCATATTATTCTAATATGTCCAGGATAACATAGCCTATGCATATTTAATTAAAAGTCAAAGCTTCGCATCTTTGCGGATATCTCAGCGCCTCATCTTTATTCCTTTATAGATTTTCAATATCTTAACTCTAAATATGTGCAAAATATAGTTACAAATAAATTGCAAACTTTGAAATATATTAAAAAAGTATACTAGTATATATAATGTCAATTTATAATATTTATAAATCAATTACAAAATATTTTATTACTATTAGCATAAGCAATTTTAGCAGCTGTCAAAGTATACATCTTATAAATAACATTTTGAATTGCTTATGTAGCGGTGATGCAGAGCCTTTTTCAGCATTGATAAAGATACATTCAATAGTTTAAGACATGTTAAAGTTTTGCGTAAAATCATATTCGATGGTTGGAATAACAGTTTGCACGAATTTCAAAAATATTATCAAGTACATGTGTACGCCCAGTTCACCTCCACCCTCTTCCACGGTTTGTATAATCTTTTTCATAATATCAGCATGGCGACATGGATGTACACTAGCCATATTTGGACCGGGCAAATGCGGATGACTTTCCATTGTAACGGTCTTCTTTGCATGATCCTGCGAAACGTCCTCGTACATTTGCTCGACAGTTAAAGGTTTACGATTCTGTTCATCATACAAAATACATAAATATATAATTGAAGAAAAAGGGTATAAAAAAAACCGTTTCACCTCATCATAGCCCACCACCCAGAGCCGAGGTGTTTGGTAGTATTTATCATATGTAATGTGTAAATCATAAGTGCGTGTGTGCAACACAGAATCCGTTGCATCAGCGCCCTCAGCAGCATCAGCGGAGTTCGTGGTTTTAGTGGCTGTTTCAGTTTCCACTTTACGCGTTGTAGTTGCAACAGCTGGATCAACTAATTCCAACATACCGCTTTCTTCAAATTCATCCATGTCAATCGCTTCGTCATCATCTTCGTCGTCATCACAATCGTTATCAGTTGCTACATTACCGCCTTTGTCTTCGTCTGGCGTACGCATTTCCTCCTATTATACATTTTTACACATACTTACATATTTCATCAAGTATTTTGCTTTTTTTTTATTATTAATTATTCTTTTATGCTTACTTTACTATCATCAAGCGTCAATTCATCAACTTTTTCTTCCAGTTCAGCAGTGCCGTCCTCGTTCAGTTGATGTGTTTCAACCCAGCCACCATCACCACCCTCCTCTTCTACCACCGTCTCTTCACCCACATACTCCATTTGTTTACAACGCCTGTAGCATGGCACATTACGTGTGATTAAAAATTGTTTATCTACGATAGAACATTTTTAGATCTTATTTAATTTGTTTAAATACGCCTAAAATACCTTTGGGTAAATATGGTTTTGTTTTAGACTCGTCTCCTGCAGCCCATTGCCATGTCGGACAATGGTGGACCAAGTGATCGCCGGCAGCTACAAATTCCTCTGGTGTCAGAACACCTGTTTCACGAAATTTCGATTCCTTAAATATATAGGAATTATGTTCATTTACTCTATACACAAATACAATACTTTTGTTGATATTAAGCTATTTTATCACCTTCAGTACTGGAGTTAGGTACTCGGCCACATTTAATGCAGTGCCTTTGACTGTATTCAAAACACTTTGCATTTTCTCTTTATTTATTTCTATACTTGCTTGATTGGACTCGATATGTAGTATATATATATATTTTATGTGAACAAAAGGATAGAATCACTCGTAGTTATCACTTCAACTTTCTCCGACCGACTGGAGCCTTTCGGAAATTGACATTTCACTCGCGTTACCAACTGTGTTAGTACATTTCGAAGATACCTAAACAAAGGACCAGCGGATGCGCATTCGGTTAACCCAGTATTTCTTTGATTTTTCTTGTATTTACGTTCTCTGCTTCTTTTCTAACAACATTCATTTTGTAAATAATTGCCAGATGTGAATGACATAATTATTTAATTAATTTTTTCTTACTAAAGAAATAATATTATCAAAACATCAACAATGTTTAATATTAAATTAAGATATATAAATTATTTATGTGTAATTGCTTTTTACAATTACTCATAGGGTTGTTGAAAATAATCGCACGGAGTGAAAAATTCTAAGCAGCTCATACTAACACAGCTGGCAACGCTATCAATCGGATGTGTGTTGGTGTTTGCGCAGTGAGGTGAATCGTGAAAAAGTGAACATTTTCTTAATCATTCTTTAAAATAATTGAGAAAAATTTGATTTTTCTTTAAAAATGTCAAAAATGAATTCAAGTAAAGTATTAATACGACATTAGGCGATACTGATCGCTTGCGGAAAGTTTGAAATTGTATTAGCAAAAATTTGCTTTGTAAAATCATACGAAAGCAAAATCAAAGCGCAATAAAAATAGCAGCAGCAGCAGCAGCAGAACGGTGTGGCACCAGCAAGTATAGGGCGGCAGCAATAACGCAGGCTAAGTTTTTTGGAAGGAAGGTCGTAAAATTTGTTTGAGGTCAAAAAATTAGTGGATTAAAACTGAAATTCGGCATATATTACGTATTTGTCGTGTTTAAAACGTTTACTAATTAGAATTTTCAATGCAATAACGCTACCGAGATAACTGCGAAAATTGCCTTTTCGAGAATTGCCACTTGGAGTTGGTCGTGGTGTTTTGGGCTTAACGTAGACAAAAACGCTAAGGTAAGAATGAATTGCACAGTATATATATGTGTGTATATTTTCGTTCAAAATTATTAATTAGCACGAAAAGTGCTGTATGACAGGCTATAGTAGTGGCATAGATTATTGTTGTTGGTTTTATGTGTTGTTGTACGGGTAGTAGGGAGAAGTTTTGGACAGCTGTTGTGGACATAAATAGCGCCAGCAAATAGTGGGCGAATGTTTTTGTTGTTTTATTTTGTTTGTTTCTTACATTATCAGCTATTTATGAAGTTGAGATGAGTTAAAATTAGATAGATAGCTTTATTCTTGTATTCAACTAAAAATATACTATACATGTATGTTTGTATATATAATATATACGTACTTATAGTGAAGTTTTGATAGTTAGTTAAAATGTCATACATTTTTCATTGCAGATAGACGCGGTGTGGGGTTGGGCTTCTGCCCCGCTGCGTTTAGCAGCGAACAGGATGGGCGATCCTATGCTACCAGGCGCTGCTGGTAGCGCTGGCACCTCCACCAGTGCCATTGATCGCCCACCATCACCGGCACGTCTATCGCACACCTCGGAGAAACACCCCAAGGTTACATTGTCCGAGTTGAATATGCTGCGACGTCATCGTGAACTATGTGACGTTGTACTCAATGTTGGTGGACGTAAAATATTTGCACACCGTGTCATTCTTTCCGCCTGCAGTCCGTATTTTCGCGCTATGTTCACCGGTGAATTGGAAGAATCACGACAAACTGAAGTGACCATAAGAGACATTGATGAGAATGCAATGGAGTTGCTGATTGATTTTTGCTATACCGCTCATATCATTGTTGAAGAGTCTAATGTGCAAACGCTGCTACCAGCAGCTTGCTTACTACAGTTGGTCGAAATACAAGATATTTGTTGTGAATTCCTAAAACGCCAACTGGATCCGACCAACTGTTTAGGCATACGCGCTTTTGCTGATACGCACTCGTGTCGCGAATTATTACGCATTGCGGATAAATTTACACAACATAACTTCCAGGATGTAATGGAGAGTGAAGAGTTTTTATTGCTGCCGGTGGGTCAACTTGTCGATATAATATGTAGTGATGAATTAAATGTACGCTCGGAAGAACAAGTTTTCGACGCTGTCATGTCATGGTTAAAATACAATGTTGCTGATCGTCGTCAACATTTGGCACAGGTATGTTTATAATGAAAATTTCTTATATCTATGTATTATGTCCCTAATTTTGTATAATTTTAAGGTTTTGCAACACGTACGCTTACCACTATTATCACCGAAATTCCTTGTTGGCACTGTTGGTTCTGATTTGTTAGTGCGCTCTGATGAAGCCTGTCGTGATCTCGTCGATGAGGCAAAGAACTACTTACTATTACCACAAGAACGTCCACTAATGCAAGGCCCACGCACACGTCCACGTAAACCAACACGTCGTGGTGAAGTGTTGTTTGCTGTCGGTGGTTGGTGTTCGGGTGATGCTATAGCATCCGTTGAACGCTTCGATCCACAAACCAATGATTGGAAAATGGTTGCACCAATGAGTAAACGTCGCTGTGGCGTTGGCGTTGCTGTACTCAATGATCTTCTCTATGCGGTGGGTGGTCATGATGGTCAGAGTTATTTGAATAGTATTGAACGTTATGATCCACAAACAAATCAATGGTCTTGTGATGTTGCGCCGACTACTTCCTGTCGTACTAGCGTTGGCGTAGCCGTTTTGGATGGATTTCTTTACGCTGTTGGTGGGCAGGATGGCGTACAGTGTCTGAATCATGTTGAACGTTATGATCCTAAAGAGAATAAGTGGTCCAAGGCAAGTGATACATACGAGTACAGTTTATGTGTGTGTGAAAAAATTTTATTTTTTATATTTTCCAATATAAAAGGTTGCACCAATGACAACACGACGTCTGGGCGTGGCTGTTGCCGTTTTGGGTTGTTATCTATATGCAATCGGCGGGTCCGACGGTCAATGCCCGTTGAATACGGTTGAACGCTATGATCCAAGGTATTATTTTATAAATATTTTTTTTTATAATTTTTTCTTTATTATATAATATTAATATTATTTATATAATATATTTTTTATAAAAATATTTTTTTATGTTATTTTATAAATATTTTTTTTTTCTATAAATATTTTTTTTATTTTATTTTTAATTTTATGAAATTTTTTTTATTTATGTTTTATAAATATTTTATTTTTTTTTTATTTATGTTTTATAAATATATTATATTTTTTATAAATATTTTATTTTTTTTATAAATATTTTTTTTTATTTATTTTGTAAAATACTTTTCTTTTAATTTAATTTTATATATTTTTTTTATTTATTGTGTTTATTTTTTAATTTTTTTTATTTTATAAATATTTTTTTATGTATGTATTATATTTTTTTTAATGATAAAAATAATTTTTGTATATTATAAATTTATATTTTTGCTTTTATAAATTTTTTTTGTTTTAAAAATATTACTTTCTATAATTTTTTTTATTTATTTTATAAAATAATTTTTTTTTCATTATTATTTTATATACATATATTTGTTATTTTATTTTATTGTGTATGTATATTACAAATATTTTTTAATTTTTTTTTTTGTATAAATATTTTCATATATTATAATTTTTTTTTAATGTTAGAAATAATTTTTTTATATTATAAATTTAAATTTTTCCTTTAATTATTTTTTAAATGCTCATATTTTATAAATATTTTTTATGATATTTTATATACATATATATTTTATGTTATTTTTTATATTATACATGTTTTTTATATTAATTATTTTTTTTTTATTTTTTTATAAATATTTTTTTATTTAATTTTATAAGTGCTTTTAATTTTTTATATCATAAATATTTTTTTATATTACAACTAATTTATTTATATCATAATATAAATATTTTTTTTGTGTTGTATTATAATAATTTTAATTTAATGTTAAACATATTTTTTGTTATTCTATTTTTTTTTTAATGTTTTTAATTTACAAATATTTTTTATAATATTTTATAAATATTTTTTTTAATATAATTATACAAAAAATTTTTATTTTATTTTTATATTATATATTTTTTTTATATTATAAAATTTTTTTAAGAAAATTTTTTTTTTACTTTTTTTAATGTTTTTTATATATGCTTTTATATAATATATATATTTTTAAAATTATAATTTTTTTATTTTATAAAATTTTTACTTTTATTTTATAAATTTATTTTATATTATAAATATTTTCTTTTTGTTAATGTGATTCATATTTTGTTATATTGTAAATATTTTTTTATATTATAAATATTTTTTTTATATTATAAATATTTTTTTTATATTATAAATATTTTTTTTATATTATAAATATTTTTTTTATATTATAAATATTTTATATTTTATTTTGTTGCTTTTATAGGCAAAACAAATGGTGCGCTGTTAATCCAATGTCGACCCGCCGCAAACATTTGGGTTGTGCTGTTTTCAACAACTACATATACGCTGTTGGCGGTCGCGATGATTGCATGGAATTATCTTCTGCTGAGCGCTATAACCCGCATACAAATACTTGGAGTCCAATTGTAGCGATGACCTCGCGACGTAGTGGCGTAAGTTTGGATGCAATGCTTTTTTTTTATAATAATTATTATTATTTTTAAATTACTTAATTGATAATTGTTTAACTTTTAAATATTTGACATTATAACCACTAACTACTCACCTTTACTTGCACCTCCAAGGTTGGTTTGGCTGTAGTCAATGGTCAGCTATATGCGGTTGGCGGCTTCGACGGCTCGGCCTACTTAAAAACAATTGAAGTTTATGATCCAGAAACAAATCAATGGCGTTTATGCGGCTGCATGAATTATCGCCGTTTAGGTGGTGGTGTCGGTGTAATGAAAGCACCACAGACTGAAAACTATATGTGGTAAGTATTAGTATAAACTTATTTATTTTTACTTAAATACATAATAAATTATACAATTTTCAACATTTCTAGTATACGCAAAGATTCCGTTGTTTGATTGAGTGCAGAGGAGGAGTGTTATTAATAAAATAAAAACCGTGGCCACGTCATAACCAAATAAAAATTTAAAATATTTGCACGTTGCTACGGTACATTTTAAGGCTTTTTAAGCTAAAATTCTAATACGAAAAAAAAAAATCAAGTATAAGAGAAAAAAACTACGAACCATAAAGGAAAGTAAAAAAAAATAAGCAAAAATCGAATAAACTATTTAAAACTAATAATTAAACACCTTATTTGTATAATGATAAAACTTTTGCGTATATATTCCAATAACAGCAGTTTAAATGAAATTCATTTTTTGCCGCTTGCCTGTGATGATAATGTGGATGGTGAAATTGTGCGCGAGGCTCAAATAATGTGCTTAGCCAAATTTCACTTTATAAAAATTACATTAATAAAACATTTCCACATAACTGTTACAAACAGTTATATGTCCCGTGTGCTGTACTAGCGCATAGCACAACAATATTGCTTACATATATATATGTATATACCAACAAACACACATATAGAGTAATGATTGCAAAATGTAATTGCTTGCTTATGCAGTGCACGGGACACGCAAACCTATTTTTTGTAATTGAATAAAAACGCAATACCACGAAAATATTGTATGTATGTGATGAGGAAGTAATGGAGCTAGTTTAAAGCATAGAAGAAAAGTTGAACGAAAATAAGGGTATGAAATTTTAACTGCCTTCTAATTGAAAATATTATAAAAACATACAATTTTAATTAGGCTTATGACCAGTAAATGCTGATTTAAAAAAAAAAAAAACTGAATATGTTTCTGATAATGTAAAGATACATTTCAAGTTATTCTAGTGCTGAATTTAATTGTAATTACATTACTTTATAAAACAAACTTACTATTTTTTACTTTCCTTATGTTTCTTTTTTTTTTGCGTTTTGTTTGTTTTTCTAAATTACACCAAATAATCTACTACAAATAAATTGGCAACAATGAAAATATTAATAGTTACGTTTTAATTAAATCAGCTAAAAATGAACCTGAAACTTACAGCACCCACTCATAGAATTAAGCTACTAAATATATACATACATACATACATACATACATATAGATATATGTTAAAGTTTAAAGAAAACGAGTAATAACTTTAATACATAAAAATAATAAATTATATAAGCGTTATCAAAAATATTTGTGCACGAAAAGGTAACAAAAAAATGTTTACGTTCATGCAAACATGTGGTAATATTATTGTTTGTCTTTTAGAAACATTGTTTTACATAACCATGTGTTTAATTTATCAAAAAAAAAAAAAAAAACTCCACATATAATTTTAGTAATATGTAATTGCATTTTTTTTCTGATATATTGTATGCATGATGTTTGCACATTGTCGTATTTTTATTGTAAGCAAGCAACATACATATGTACACGCGTATATATGCATATGTACGTACATCTATTTGTAAACTTATGAATATTGTTCTATTGCTGGAAACAAAAAAAATGTTAATAAATAAATTAAGTGCATAATGTAAGTATTGCAAAATGACATTGGTGAAAACTGTAGGATTAATTGTGATTGATGAGTTCTGTCGTGAAAAATTAACTAATGTAATAAAATAATTAATAAATAAATGGACAACATGAGTACACTTAATTAAGGAAACGGTTAAGTAAATAATATAATTTCTTTTTGTCTCTTATATAAAATAAAGTAAAAATAATACTTTTATTTCTATTATCACATCGTTGGTTTACTCTTTCCATCCTTGCACATACAATTAAATCTACTGACGATGTTGGATTTAAAAATATACCAGTTGGAATTTATTTATTGCTTTTATCATCATTCTCATTGTACTAATACCGTTGGAGCTGCGGAAAATGAGTTTTAAATCTCTTTCCTATTCAAAGCAGTTTCAAGATAAAAATGGTCAGCAATGACTTTATTTCGCCTTCACTGTTTGATGAGACGCTTTTCGGAGTAGTTGGCAACGCGCGCATGAAATATACAGTCAATTATGCGATATGCGATATGCCAAGTAAAAATTTGCTTAACAATAGATAAGATTGATTCAGAGCTTATCAACGAATGAAACAATGCCATTTCATTTCCTTTATGGGCAAATTAAGTAATCAAAATGATTTTTTTTGTCTCGGCGCTGTCATTTATAAAGGTTTCGTCCTGAATGGCTGTCTGATTCACTCTCTAACTTTGAAGGGTTTTCCAGGAAGTGGACCTAGGACTGATCTGTCGAAAAATATATTTTATTTATTTTTGTTTGATTCACATGTAATTCGGTAAACAGTTAACTCTTTGGCTGAATTGAGATGGGGAACAAGGTTTTTCGATGAAGTGATACTGATCTATTTGAAAAATTTGTGTTTATTGTTTAGTTTACATAAAATATGACACAATTTCTGCTTTGTGCCCAAACTATCATGGGGAAGAGCTTTTTTCCGGCATGTGGGTCTGGCACCAATTTGTTCGAAATAATCGAATTTAATTTTATATCGTTTGATTTATATGAAATTCCGTACACAGGTAACTCTTTGCTATTTTCTGTTCGAAAACTTTATACTTATCTACCTAAAATTTGGTGCCGTAGTGACTTTGAGCCCAAACTATCATTGGGAAGATAAAAAATCTGTTTCCTTCCAAGGTTACATTTAAATGGAATACCTCCAGCTGAGAATACCCACTTCGGTGTGAATGAGAAAGAGTTGTAGTAGGAGAGCAAGATGCCAATACAAATTCCACCGATGGATCCAAAATGAACTACGGGATGGAGGAGTTTTGTATACTGCAAATATCTCTACATCTCCCTCCCTTTTGTGTTTAACCAGCTGATCAAGCTGCGTCCAAGCGAAGTTACTAGGTACAGAATGAGCCTCTAATGAACGAAAACTAAATGGAATTAATACAACGTCCGCCTAAAAGGATCTGAGTATCACATAAGTGATGGAATATTTAACATGCAATAATAATAATATTATAAAACAAAGATCCTATATATGCTTTTTAGCAATAAAGTCAAAATTTAATAATAAATCTGTTTGGTCTGACATATCCGTAAGAATTGGCCAGTAACGAAAATTAAAATTGGTGTTTCTAGTGCAATCTCGCTGGCTTTTTATTCTTTAAACACGATTCAGCAAAAATTGGTAATAATTGTTATTGCCCATCAGCTCACTGAACGGACCTAATAAATTATGTTTGAATATAGAAGTATATGAAATCAACAGTTCACCTAGTGACGACATTGCGAGTCGTACATATCTGATACTTACTGTAGCTGAATTATCAGCTGATATATGTAAACAAATAATTTGGCGCGTACCATCAGCTAGTTATTTTGTTTTCTGATGAAATTCTGTTTTTCGCCAAAGTTCTAAAATTGAAAAAATTGATATATTATTAATGTTGTTGGAAAAATGTCGTCACGAAATAGTAGTGCAATGCAACAAAAATATAGTCGTGTAGTTGTATTGGTGGACATGGATTGCTTCTTTTGTCAAGTGGAAGAGAAACTGAATCCGCAGCTGAAAGGACAACCAGTAGCAGTGGTGCAGTACAACGCGTGGCGTGGTGGTGGGTAAGTTAAAGCTAAATTAAGTATTCCAATACTATTGTAATGTATGTATTGTACATTATATAAATTCTTATGTGAATTTTGAATATAATAGTTAAGCTTTTTTCTTATCAACGTCTAATGCATCAACTATCTTTACAGCATTATCGCCGTGAATTATGCAGCGCGTGCAAAAGGTGTTACACGTCATATGCGCGGCGATGAAGCCAAGGAGAAGTGCTCTGAAATACAATTAGTAACAGTGCCAAATATGCGTGAAAAAGCCGATACGAGCAGGTATCGTGAGGCTGGCAAAGAAGTAGCGAATGTGCTACAGCGTTTTACACCTTTGTTAGAACGCGCTTCGGTCGATGAGGCTTATATGGATATAACAGAGGCGGTCAATAAGCGTTTGGGCGACATGAATGCGGTGAGTAAAGTTTACCATTTATTTATACATATATTGTAATAAAAAAAAACTTATTTTAATCTCCTTAAGGGTTCATTTATGTTACAACCGCAAGGCCTAATAAATACGTTTGCTGTAGGATATGCTGGTATTGGTGATTTTCTTAATGTGATTACGAAACGTTTGAATGAGCCCACTGCGGAGGATATCGAGTCACAAGAGTTCGGACAAGCGCACGATGCTGTGCCGCCATTCCAGGCTGTGCGTCAAAGTGATATTCGTTTGCTTATAGGCGCGGCTATAGCGGGTGAAGTGCGTGCTGCTGTGAAGGCAGAAACTGGCTATGAGTGTTCTGCTGGTATAGCACACAATAAAATACTTGCAAAATTGGCATGTGGCATAAATAAGCCTAATAAGCAGACCATTTTGCCACTGGCACAGATTCCAAAATTTTTCGAAACCTTACCACTAACAAAAATTCAAGGTTTAGGTGGTAAATTCGGTGAGAAGATATGCGTAGATCTGCAAATACGATACTTGGGTGAGCTTTTGCCATATAGCGAACCAGATTTGCAAAGGAAATTTGATGAAAAAAATGGGTGCGTATAAAATAATTATTAAAAAAAAAACTCTAATGGAAAATATAATATTTTTCAGCACCTGGCTGTATAACATTTGCCGTGGCATTGATTTAGAACCCGTTACCCCACGTTTTTATTCAAAAAGTATTGGTTGTTGTAAAAAATTTCCAGGACGCAACAATATAACTGGACTAAATACACTGCGTCATTGGTTGGGTGAATTGGCCAGCGAGGTATGCGAACGCATGGAAAAGGATATGCTGGAAAATAACCGTCGGGCCAAGCAAATGGTCGTAAGCTTTATACAAGAATTCGATGGTGAAGAAGTGTCTAGTTCACGCTCCGCACCACTTAATGCGCACGATCAAGAGACATTGGCCAAGTGTAGCTTAGAGGTATTACAAGCAAATACAAAACAGTTTCTTAAATCAGGCAACACACTGGCCTTGAATAATCCTATAAAATTTTTGGGTATTAGTGTGGGTAAATTCGAGACAATACAAAGCGGCCAAGGAAAGTTACAGGAAATGTTTGCCAATTTAGCGGCTAAGAAAAAAACTGAGACCGAAAATGGCTTAAGGCAAGCTAGCGGTGCAGTGAATAGTGTTGCGTCAAGTAACCACCCAGAGCCTGTTGCTAAGAAACCAACATTTATGCAAAATTTTTTGCGACGCAGCACTGAAGCTAGCGCCAGTGAGGAATCTAAAAACTCTACTAATGAAAAGTGTTCTCAGAATGTAGACGAAATTTTAGAATGTGATGACGATGAAAACGTCACTGGGGCCATAAAAAGCGATTACGCGGTGCAGGAGGTGCAACAAACGCCAACAGTACGCAGCTTTTTTCTAAATGCCTTAAAAAATCGGAGTGTTAACGAAAGCAAAGAGACTGCTTCAACACTCGATGTTGCGTCCACCGACGATTGTTCTCTAAATACAAATATGGCAGTTAGAGAAAGTGATATAACAAAAAGCTTTTTCGCAAAAGTTTTAAAAAGGCAGGCAGATGTAGAAATAACTGATACAATACAAACGAAACAGCATAATAAATTGCAATATTCGCCGGAGAAAAGTCAGACATCAGCAATAGTGTCTAATTCGGATGATAAAATTGAACAATTAGCTGTTGTATTGCAAGAATATAACGAAGAAAATGACGAGGAACATCATGTATCGTGCATTAATATGGCTGAAAACATTGGTCCATCCAAAAATAAACGCAAGTACAGCGCATTGCTCCAAAGCGAATCGTCAACCATTGAAACAACTGCACACGACACAACTTCAGCTAGCTACGAAACGAGCTATGCAGAGTTTGCCGTGCCTGAGTTACGAACTGATCTGATACAAATGATTAAATGTGACACTTGTAAAGCTGATATACCGTCGGATGCGCGTTCAGTGCAATTACATCAAGATCGCCACATTGCTATGCAACTCAGCCAGCAGCTACGTGATGAATATCGCACCGAGGTCAAAACACAATTAAGCGCTAAGAAGCCTGCCAACACGCCAGTCGTGCCCAGCAAGAAACCGAAAAAGTCACCAGTTCAAGCAACAAAAATCGGCAATAGCAAAGCAGGCACAAGCATAACGAAATTCTTAAAACCTACTGCTGCTGCTGCTACTACAGTAGTAGCTGCAACTACCAGTGTGCCAACACAGCCACCTACAGAAATAATCGATCTTTCGAATGACACCGTCGACACGGCTGTTTGCGAGGAATGCAAGCTAACCATACCAACCAGTGAACTTGAAGAGCATAAAGATTTTCATGTTGCTAAAACCTTACAACGTCAATTGAACATGCTTGAGGTACGCACGGTCTCTGTTGCTAAGAAATCTAACGCGCCCTGTAATGGCACGTTGAACGCGAGCCAAGCGAGTATTAAAAATATCAAACCCATTACCCAATTCTTTTCACAATCAAATTGTTTGTAGTTTAAGTTATAAATGGAGATTTTTAAGCTGTGAAAAAATATACATACATACGTATCAACGATCGAAAAAAGTACTTTTTACACTTATCAATTTTGATATGTCGAGAAGCAACCATTTGCTGGAAGTGCCTTGGTCATTACACAAGCGTGAGCACTGTTGAGCACAGCGGTTACCGTTGCTGCTGTAGTCGCAGTAGTCGACTGTTGTTGTTGTTTTTATTGCTGGATTTTAATCTCTTACGACAGACATGTCTTACCGCAGTAAAATTCTTGAACCTCTAACCCGCAGTGGGGAAAAAATGTTTCGCCACTCCATGTTGTTTTTGTTGTTGCAGTAGCGGGTCGCCAAACTCGCTTAAGAACCAGCAAGATCAGTCTAAGCCATCGAGGTCATCTAACGGGTTGCAGGTTAAACTCCTACCTATCCAGACTAGAGCCCAGCATACCCAACGTATGCCCTGCATGTGGAGAGTCTCCGCACGACACTAACCACCTCTTCGCATGCCCCCTCAAACCAACTCCTCTAACCCCCCTCTCCCTTTGGTCCAACCCCGTCGAAACAGCTCGTTTTCTGGATCTACCATTAGATGACCTCGGCGACTTAGACTGATCAAACCTGTGCCTAAGCGGGGTTAGTGAACCGCTACAACAACAACAACACCACAGGTTCGCCGTAAACAACCAAAACCATACTTAAACAGCGGATAGTACTTAGCTCAAACCAAAATCGACCCCCGGCGCGAAGTTTCCTGTTAGTTTTATACAGCCAACCACGCAGTGTTACTATCAGACATTGAGGAATCCACATTGCCATCGGGGTTGAACAGCTAGACCATATACTAATTGAGTGGTCGAGGTTAAACTTTAAAGCTCCGCAAAATTTAGCAAGAGGTTTCGCCGGGTGGCGTCCTCTTTGGTTTATTAAATTACGAAGTTTTTTCCACCATTAGAGGCACTTTCTTTGATCTGATATGCCGATGATAGCTCAATATTGACTTCGAGTCAGGATATTGATCATCTTTATTCGAAAGTGAAATGCTATCGCGCTGACCTCTACCACTTCTTCACTGCACTCCTATTACAAGTACCACTACAAGCCTGTGAAATCGTCGCCTACCCGTTTTGAACAACTTGACAAAGGAGTACCGGCTCGATTATGTTACATTTCTATTCGTTAATATCTTCTAATCTACAAGAAGCTTAGACAGTCTGAACTCCTTTAATCCACATACGACTGTAATTGCTATCAAAGTACAGATACGCAATAAATCCTCTAATTGGTAGCCAATAGCACCTGGAGGGAAACAAAGACACGCTTCTTGCAACTTATAAGATATCCGGGCGGCCGGTCGTTAACTGCGCAATCTCGTTTAGAGAACTTTGTATAGGTAACCTGGTCAGGACTCTCAGCCATGACCCTCCAACACATACATTTAATCTACTTAACTGCTGCAGCCGCCTATAACGGGATAGACCAATCAGAAAAATTAAACAGGAACATCTTGGGCCCGAAAGACAGCCACATTCGCTTTATTAATACTTAAAATCTAATTGTAGATACAATTTTTCATGAAAACATTTGCTAAAGGAAGCAATAAAGAGAGAATGGTCGAATTTGCTGAAGCTCCTATATACGCCATTATAAGCTTTAAGTGTATTGTAATGGTAGATACTCATATCCATGAAAGAGATGACGGGCGTCAAAAACTTCTCTATTGAACGATCCTGTGGATAGCCGAAGGGCTATTCTCGCTGCTCTCAATTCCGACGATTATCAGAAGAATTGTAATTTAATTTCATGTTGACCGCGGTCGCCGATTTTAATACTCCGCTCGTTGGTACGAGTGGAAAATACTGGTAGTGTCGTTGGTAGAAGCTGAAGTTCTTATAGAATAAAAATGTATTGCGTAGTTCTTTTTCTTTTTAAAAAAGACTGCACTTTGACGATTAAATATTTGCTAAAAATATATATTATTGATCTTATCTTTTTTAATAAATACCTAAGGCGTAAATATAACGAAGCATTATTACTCATTTAGCTTTTTTGAAATTGCATTGAATTGAAAAATGGTTCCTCTGACGCGCTTGGCACCAAATTCAAATATTTTGGTATTTACCATTCACGAATATTGGATTTTAGGATTAAATGTTGTTAACTATTCATTTACGAATAATAAAAATGAATGGTTTAAACTTTACCTCTTACTTGAATAAAAAATAAAATAAAATAAAATAAAATAAATATAAATAAAATAAAAATAAAATAATGCTATGTAAATTAAAATAAAAGAAAATAAAAATTTTATTTTATTTTATTTTATTTTATTTTATTTTATTTTATTTTATTTTATTTTATTTTATTTTATTTTATTTTATTTTATTAAATTAAATAAATTATTAGTAAATAAAATGAATTAAAATAAAAAAAAATTGAAGAAATAAAATGGATTAAAATAAAAATAAATATATTAAAATGTAATGGAACCCCAATGCATTGCCAGTAGCGAGTAAATAAACTTAAGACTTTTGTGCACACATACAATATAAGATTGTAATTACTTGTTAGTCGCATTGAAGCCATTAAAGCAATTGGATTCTCTGGAGTCTTCTCTTGGTATTCTCCAACAAAAAAAATGTAAAATCATAAAAATATAGAATAAAATAAAAATAAAATAAAATTAAATAACAGAAAATAAATTAATGAAAAAAAAATTTATAAATTAAAACGAAACAAAATCATATAAAAAAATAACATAAAATCAAATAAAGAACAAACAAATTAATATAAAATGAAATAAAACAAAACAAAATAAATAAAAATAAAAATTATTAAATAAAATAAAATAAAGAAGTTTTTTTTTTTTAAGTTTTGAATTGCCGTAGCAATCGTTTGCAATTAATTTCTCTTTATTAAAACTTATATAACAAACTATAAAACTATCCGATTAACAATTCTGCAATAGAACCTCATCACAGCAATATCCATTTCGAACATTTCTACATACATATATAATGCTTAACTAGTTTCAATTGCGATGTTATCTTCAGTCACACAGCCAGCTTGAGCACATCGTTTAGTTCCAGTTATTGGTTTTGGCGAAATCGTAATCGAAGTGACCCATGTTCTTGTACTGGGACCACATGTATGGCTTCAGAGTGTTGTTGTGGTAGATCATCACATCCTTGAAGTACATGTTGGGTACGAGGAATTCGTATTCGTCAATTGGGCGATCCAAGGGATAACCGAATGGCATGTTATCAGTGTGACGTTCGCCGGAACCAATGCCGCAATAATATGTGTAATCCATATTGGCAGATTCTTCGACAGATCCTACGTATGGTGCAATGTAGAAGAAGAATTGCATTGGATAACCACTCNATTGTGGGAAGATTTCGTAAATGGATGGCAGCATCAGACCCTTGAAGTCATCACGATGAATGACAGCCAAAGTCAGTGCATAGACGAACATGCCTTCGTTGACATGGATGCGAGCCCAAGCGACATTTTGTTGGAAGGTTTCCCAATCCTTGGCGTAGTAGAAGAAGTTGAACAGACCATGCGCTTGTTTGTGGTGAGTCTTAACGAGCGCACCGAAGAATTCACCTCTAGGTAAGAGTGCGCCTTGTTTGTAGGACTCATAGAACACCTTCATGAGATGATCGAATTGCTAGAAGTGGAAGATATGTAAGAGTTAATATATTAATTACATTTTCTACATAATAAATGGCAAAATTATAAAAAGTAAACCCAAATTTGTACTTACGGTGTAATGTGTCTGATCATAGCTCAAAGAGTGGCCCAACTTAAGGTAATCCTCGAACATCAGAGGATCCTCCACGCGGTAGACGATTTCCAAGAGGAACTTCTGTTTCGCCAAGAAGGCATGATCGGCAACGGGAACTTTGCTGGTGAGGGGTACGTTAGCGGCAGCCACAAGGCCGACGAGTGCCAAAAGTACAACGGTTAACTTCATGGTGACAACTGCTCCGGATTAGATACTTTCTTCCAATGCCTAAAGACTGTTGATAATTCGCTGGCTAGCCAGCATTTTTATACAGTTTCTCTTATCAGTAGGTGTGCCAGTCTCACCTATGCTGCAGATAACAAAAGACGGCAAACATATTAGTTGATCTTGCATGACCTGCTGAGATCATAAAGCATCATAGGCAGAATGAACGGCTGCCTGTTGTCTTATTTTAATGTCATATCTATGTACAATTGATTATGGTAAAGCAGTTTTGTGTATTTTCAAAGTGGTCCGATCTCTCTACATATAATTTTTGATAATAAGAAATACACATTGACCTCTGGGACTTTTTGCTGTCCACATCTTAGGCCACAGTTTTCATTAGAAAATATGTAATTACCCATCATTAGTTTAGATTTTTTCTTGTGGGAACCTCACAGACTCGAGTTCAAAAAACACCTTTATTCAGTACTTTCGAAAACATAACTGGATTATGAGGGTCGTCAACTTTCTTTGACGTTTGTTCTTAAGCTAAATCTTTATTTTGAGAAAAATTTTGCCAGGAGCTGATCACTTAAAGGCCTGTCAAAAGGGATGGTCAAAATTATGGGGCGTATGCACAATCAAATTAAAACAGCTGTTAGTTGTGCCTATGATGCTTTATGATCTCAGCAGGTCATGCAAGATCAACTAATATATTTGCCGTTATTTGTTATCTGCAGCATAGGTGAGATTGGCACACCTACTGATAAGAGAAACTGTATAAAAATGCTGGCTAGCCAGCGAATTATCAACAGTCTTTAGGCATTGGAAGAAAGTATCTAATCCGGAGCAGTTGTCACCATGAAGTTAACCGTTGTACTTTTGGCACTCGTCGGCCTTGTGGCTGCCGCTAACGTACCCCTCACCAGCAAAGTTCCCGTTGCCGATCATGCCTTCTTGGCGAAACAGAAGTTCCTCTTGGAAATCGTCTACCGCGTGGAGGATCCTCTGATGTTCGAGGATTACCTTAAGTTGGGCCACTCTTTGAGCTATGATCAGACACATTACACCGTAAGTACAAATTTGGGTTTACTTTTTATAATTTTGCCATTTATTATGTAGAAAATGTAATTAATATATTAACTCTTACATATCTTCCACTTCTAGCAATTCGATCATCTCATGAAGGTGTTCTATGAGTCCTACAAACAAGGCGCACTCTTACCTAGAGGTGAATTCTTCGGTGCGCTCGTTAAGACTCACCACAAACAAGCGCATGGTCTGTTCAACTTCTTCTACTACGCCAAGGATTGGGAAACCTTCCAACAAAATGTCGCTTGGGCTCGCATCCATGTCAACGAAGGCATGTTCGTCTATGCACTGACTTTGGCTGTCATTCATCGTGATGACTTCAAGGGTCTGATGTTGCCATCCATTTACGAAATCTTCCCACAATATTTCTTCAATAGCAAACTGATTTACGCCGCAGAGAAGTTCGATTACAACACATGGAGCAAATATATGCAATACGAGAAGGAACTCCACGATGTATACCAAAGAAATAGCTTGTACCGCAACAATGATTACTTCTACGTGAAGGACTTCAAGACCTACCAATGGTGGAGACTGATGGGTCTGGGTGAGCAATGGTATGCCACTGAGAAGAGCTTCCCTCTGCGCGAAAACTGGAATGAATTTATCTCCAACGATAAATATATGTCCCTTATGAAGGGCATCAACATGTTTTGGTATCCAGTTGACTATACTCGTGATATTCAAGAAATGAACGAACACTCTGTGTTGTCGTACTTCACTGAAGATTTGGGCTGGAACGCATACTGGTACTATTTGAACATGGATTACGCTTTCTTCTTGGACGGCAAGACATTCGGTTTGGACAAGGACCGTCGTGGTGAATGGTGGTTATTTAACGTTGATCAAATCTTGGCTCGTTACTACATGGAACGTTTATCACACGGACTTGGTGAAATCCCAGAATTATCCTGGAACCAGGCATACGAATACGGTTATGATCCTACTCTAGTCTCGTACAACGGTGTTGGCTACAGCTATCGCAAGAACTACTATGAGATCCAATCTTACGGCAACCTTGACATGTTGAATCAAATTAAGAGCAGCTTCAAACGCATCTACGATGCTATAGACACTGGTTACTACACCACCTACGGTGGACAGAAGATCGACTTGCGTCAACCCGAATCCATTGAATACGTCGGCAGCTATATGCAAAACAATATCGATGCCTTCGATAAGACTTTCTTCAGCTACTGGAACATGCTGAGTCACATGTACTTCGGTTACGTCGACTACAATGATTTCCTTGTACAACCAAGCATTTCCTTGAACTTCGAAACAATGTTACGTGACCCTCTGATGTACACTTTCTACAAAAAGATCGCCGATGTCTTCTATCGTTTCAAATATCACTTGGACGCCTACACCCATGAGGAACTTTTAATGCAAGGAGTCGAAATCGAAGATGTAGAATTCACTGACTTAGTCACCTACTTCGATTGGACAGACTTCGATGTGAGCAACTTGATGAATGACAAGATGATCGTCGATGATGGCAAACTCGTTTGGAACAATGCATTGTACGCACGTCAAATGCGTCTTAACCACAAGCCATTCGAATATGAAATGAAAGTCAAGTCCGAGAAACCCCAAAAGGTTGTCATTCGTACCTTCCTTGGTCCTAAATTTGACGAATACGGCAGTATTATCTCGCTTGAGGAGAACCGTAAAAACTTCATTGAATTGGATGAATTCGTCTATGAGTTGGCTGCTGGTGTGAATGAAATCAAACGCTCATCCAGCGAAGACTTGTACTGGAATATTAAAGATCGCACCACATACACTGAACTGTACCGCTATGTGATGGCCGCCTTCGATGGCAAATACGAAATGCCTTTGGATATCAGCGAACCACATTGCTACTTCCCAGATCGTCTTATCTTACCCAAGGGTTGGGAGAGTGGTTATCCAATGCAATTCTTCTTCTACATTGCACCATACGTAGGATCTGTCGAAGAATCTGCCAATATGGATTACACATATTATTGCGGCATTGGTTCCGGCGAACGTCACACTGATAACATGCCATTCGGTTATCCCTTGGATCGCCCAATTGACGAATACGAATTCCTCGTACCCAACATGTACTTCAAGGATGTGATGATCTACCACAACAACACTCTGAAGCCATACATGTGGTCCCAGTACAAGAACATGGGTCACTTCGATTACGATTTCGCCAAAACCAATAACTGGAACTAAACGATGTGCTCAAGCTGGCTGTGTGACTGAAGATAACATCGCAATTGAAACTAGTTAAGCATTATATATGTATGTAGAAATGTTCGAAATGGATATTGCTGTGATGAGGTTCTATTGCAGAATTGTTAATCGAACTGCAAGTTCTTAAATAGTTTGTTATATAAGTTTTAATAAAGAGAAATTAATTGCAAACGATTGCTACGGCAATTGAAAACTAAAAAAAAAAACTTTTTTATTTTATTTTATTTAATAATTTTAATTTTTATTTATATTGTTATTTTTAATTTTTATTTTAATTTATTTTGTTCATTTTTTATTTTATTTTATTTCATTTTATTTTATTTTAATTTATTTTAATTTATAATTTTTAATTTATTCCTGATTTTATGGTATTTTATTTTAATATTTTCATTTAGTTAATTAATTTATTTTTGAATTACATTATTTATTTTATTTATATTCTACTCGTATATAATTTAATTTTGTTTTATATTTATTTTATTTTATAAATTTTTTTTTATTTTTTTTTTATTTAATATAATTTTATTTATTTTACTTTTTTTAGATTTTGTTATAGTGTATTTAGTTCTTTTTATTTCATATTATTAAGCTTTGCTTGTTTGGTGTTTACCTTTAAAGGAAATGAGAACAGAGAAATATGCTTTAAATTTCAGAGAGATAGCAGCTGAATTTTCTATGTCTCTTGATACACATCGCATCATTTGAACGACTTATTTCGAAATCCTGACTTTCCTTCACAAATTCAAACGCGCGAAGGTCGCTGCAGTCACGGTAGAAAAAAGCAGTTTCGAGTTCGCAGTCATAAAACGTATTGTGGAGAGAAATGCTCCTTAGCTCTTGGTATGTGCATTGGTCAAACAGGTTTCGTAATGTTGGCTTCCAACTGAGCTGAAATCGAAAAAAACACGTTAAAGTCTTTCAAAAGTCAATGCAATTCCTGTTGACCACCGCTATGTTGTGGCCTCGGATTTTTCAAGATGGCGTGAACGAAAGCTGGCCTAGAACCCAGTGGCTACATACCCTTCCCTGTTCCTAAGAACATTTTTTCCAAATGCACTTATGATTTTCTCGATAAATCCCGTGAAGCCGTTCCAATTAGCTCTGCTGATGTTAACAAACGTCCGGTGGTAAATGAAAAGAAAGTCGGAAGGCCTGTCCATCGATGCTATTATGAGCGATGCTACTGTCAGTGTAAGTCGCTTGACTATGCTGTTTATGAGAACAGCGCTCCCAATGGTTATATGAGGCGAGCGGTGGCAATTACGCACAATTTTGGTGGCGTCGTCGCAGTTCATGGTGCAAAATGTCGAACCGTCTATCTGGTCTGCCACATCCATCCCTATATGGTCATTTGATAGGCTAGAAAAACCAAATGGTCGCCTCTGAGTATCGCACCTACATATATCGGAAGACAACAAGTAACAAGAGGAATGTATATATTTAATATTTCGAGCTGCCATTTTGGAGTTCTGATGTTCTTAAGTTTATTGCTCCACCAAGAAGGGGGTTTCCACCCTTTAAGTACAGTCAGAGGTGCAGATTTCCGAAAGGATATTTCAAATCTCTAGTTACTTGATTCACTGGTGTGATTCTTGTTACCAATCTTGTAAAACTATCAGATGATTTTCTTCAATGGGTTACGAATTGAGTGTTGCTAAAAAGCATCCAGCAGTGATGCGACATCGCAGGTTTCTAGACAGCAACAACTGACAGCCTCATTCCTTGTCGTCAGCGTTAAATCCAGAATATCCTTCCAGACCGAGAACTTGTCCAGACTTTGGTATATAAATTTAGGTATATCCCCCTTAATGCATATGCTTAGGTTACTATGTAATATGTTTTGTAAGAGGAACTCAATCTCTGGTATTTGTATCTGAGCTTCCCTATATATTGTCTCATCGCGTTGGCATCAAGCCCCATACGAATTTCATTTCTTGTTTTTTTTCTGGCTAACTCCTTTATCTATTGGATGATTGCATAAGTTCGTTCCCGATTCCGCTGGATGCCGTTCGAATCGTTTGAGAGTGAAAAGACGCATGGAAGATGGACAACGAAAAAGATCATATGCGTCATATTATGTTATACGAATTCCGCAAAGGAAAAACAGTAGGCGCTGCAACTAAAGATATTCGCGAAGTTTATTTGGACCGTGCTCCAGCACTCCGCACAGTAAAGAAATGGTTCGCGAAATTTCGTTCTGGAGATTTTAACCTCGAAGATCAACCTCGCAGTGGACGGCCTTCTGAGCTTGATGACGATGTTCTAAGGACTTTAGTTGCGAATAACTCACGTATTTCGACGGAAGAGGTTGCCAGTGAATTGAACGTCAACAAATCAACTGCGTTTCGTCGTTTAAAAAAGGTTGGGTACACTTTGAAGCTCGATACATGGGTGCCACATCAGTTGAGTGAAAAAAACAAAGTGGACCGTATGTCAACAGCAATTTCTTTGCTTCGACGGATCAAAAACGAACCTTTTTTGGATCGGCTCGTGACTGGTGATGAAAAATGGATCCTGTACAACAATGTTCAACGCAAAAGAACATGGAAACAGGCACACGAAGGGGCGGAACCGATGTCGAAAGGTGGATTGCATCCGATGAAGGTACTGCTGTGCATTTGGTGGGATATCCGAGGCGTGATCTATTTTGAGCTCTTGCCAGCTGGAGAAACGATCACTGCCAACAAGTATTGTCAGCAATTGGTCGAATTGAAGAAAGCAATTGATGAAAAACGTCCGATTTTGGCCAATCGCAAAGGAGTTCTTTTCCATCATGACAACGCCAGGCCACATGTTGCAAAACCGACCCTGGCCAAACTGAAGGAGATGAATTGGGAAATCATGCCGCATCCCTTATATTCACCCGACATTGCACCTTCTGATTATCATTTGTTTCGATCGCTTTCTTCAAAAAATTTCAATTTTAGTTTGCACTTGAAATCGGGCACGAACTTATGCACTCATCCAATATTTTGGTGACACCTTACCATGCTGATGGATATCACAAAGAAGTTGCTTGCCTTAAGTTCCACTTTACCCACCGCTGTATTTGCTAGACTGTGATGCTAATACTCTCAATACTTCAATACAGATTTTTCAAAATATTTCGACTCTTGCGCCACCTATCCAAAACATACAGTAGGTTTCGAAGAGCGCCCTGTTGATTGGAGTTAAAACAATTTTTTTATATTTTCTTATGAATCGCCATAGCAAATAAATGCATTTCCTTTTATTTTTTATTCTATTTTTGTTCGCTTTTTTTAGCAATTAAAAAACTAACAAAACATCCATTATTGACCACATATTAAGTATGAATAGGAAACTTATTTCACTGACAAGATTTACATATTTCACTTAAATATAACCAATTTTCTTATGCCACAGCCAGCTCGATTTAATGGAAGTACTTGGTGTAGTAATCATTGTAGAAAGCGTAGTCGAATTGGCCGACTTTCTTGTAATCCTGGTAGTATTGTTGGAGTGTATCTACGTGGTAGATGCTGACATCCTTGAAGTACATGTTGGGCACAAAGAATTCGTATTCATCAATTGGACGATCGAATGGATAACCGAATGGCATGCTGTCGATGTGACGGGTGCCGGAACCGATGCCGCAGTAGTAGGTCGAATCGTAGTTGGAGTATTGATCGACTGAGCCTGTGTATGGTGCAATGTAGAAGACGAATTGCATTGGATAACCACTCTCCCAACCACGTGGCAAGAGTAGACGATCGGGGAATCCACAATGTGGTTCGCTAATGTCCAAAGGCAGCTCGTATTTGCCATCGAAGGCAGCCATCACATAGTGGTACAATTCGGTGTAGGTGGTACGATCCTTAACAGTCCAGTAGAAGTCATTGGATGAACGTTTGATTACATTCTCACCAGCAGTCAACTCCATCACGTATTCATCCAATTCAATGAAGTTCTTGCGGTTATTATTCAGCGAGATGATCCGTCCGTATTCATCGAATTTGGGACCGATAAATGTACGCATGACAACCTTTTGTGGTTTCTCAGCGTTCACAATGACTTCATAGTTGAATGGTTTGTGGTTAAGACGCATTTGACGTGCGTACAATGCATTGTTCCAAATGAATTTACCATCATCGAACACCATTTTGTCATTCATCAAGTTGCTCACATCAATATCTACCATATCGAAGTAGGTGACCAATTTATCGATTTTAGCACCCATAACTTGAATACCATCAGCGTAAAGTTGCTCATGAGTGTAGGGTTCCAAATGATATTTGACACGGTAGAAGACATCGGCGATCTTCTTGTAGTAGCTGTACATCATAGGGTCACGCAGCATAGTTTCGAAGTTTAAGTAAATATTTGGGAACACTTCAGCATCATTGTAATCGACATCAGCCAAGTACATGTGGCTCAGCATGTTCCAGTAGCTGAAGAAAGTCTTATCGAAGGCATCGATATTGTTTTGCATGTAGTTGCCGACGTATTCAATGGATTCGGGTTGACGCAAGTCGATCTTTTGTCCACCGTAGGTGGTGTAGTAACCAGTGTCTACAGCATCGTAGATGCGCTTGAAGCTGCTCTTAATTTGGTTCAACATGTCAAAGTTGCCGTGAGATTGAATTTCGTAGTAGTTCTTGCGATAGCTGTAACCAACACCGTTGTAGCTAACCAACTCGGGATCATAGCCATATTCGTAAGCGTGGTACCAAGAGAATTCTGGAATTTCACCAAATCCATTCGACAAACGTTCCATGTAGTAACGAGCCAAGATTTGATCGACATTGTACAACCACCATTCACCACGACGATCCTGGTTCAAACCAAAAGTTTTGCCGTCCAAGAAGAAAGCGTAATCCATGTTCAAATAGTACCAGTATGCGTTCCAGCCCAAATCTTCAGTGAAGTACGACAACACAGAGTGTTCGTTGAAGTCTTCAATATCACGAGTATAGTCAACTGGGTGCCAGAACATGTTGATATCCTTCATGAAGGACACGTATTTATCGTCAGAGACAAATTCATACGAGTTTTCACGCAGTGGGAAGCTCTTCTCAGCGGCATACCATTGCTCATCCAGACCCATCAGTCTCCACCATTGGTAGGTCTTGAAGTCCTTCATGTAGAAGTAATCGTTGCCGTAGTACCTGCTATTTTTGTGGTATACATTCTGGAGTTCTTTCTCGTATTGCATATATTTGCTCCATGTGTTGTAGTCGAACTTCTCGGCGGCGTAAATCAATTTGCTGTTGAGGAAATATTGTGGGAAGATTTCGTAAATGGTTGGCAGCATCAGACCCTTGAAGTCATCACGATGAATGACAGCCAAAGTCAGTGCATAGACGAACATGCCTTCGTTGACATGGATGCGAGCCCAAGCAACGTTTTGTTGGAAGGTTTCCCAATCCTTGGCGTAGTAGAAGAAGTTGAAGAGACCATAAGCTTGTCTGTAGTGAGTCTTAACGAGCGCACCGAAGAATTCACCTCTGGGCAAGAGTACACCATATTTGTAAGCTTCGTAGAATTGTTCCATATGCTCATCATAGTACTGGGAATCAAATGAATGATCATATGCATGAGTTCATATTGTGTTGAAGAAGAAAAGTAGAAAATGTAGGAAACTTTTTATAAACTTACGGTATAGTGTGCCTTGTCATGGATCAACGATTGACCAAGCTTGATGTATTCCTCGAACATCAAAGGATCCTCCACGCGATACACGATTTCGAAGAGAAACTTCTGCCTCTCTAAGAAAGCATGATCTGCTACTGTCACCCTGCTGGGAGTGGAAACGCTAGCGGCGGCCACTAGGCCGACGAGTGCCAAAAGTACAATGGTTAATTTCATCGCGACAACTGCTCCGGATTAGATACTTTGCTCCAATGCCTAAAGACTGTTGATGTTTCGGCAGCTAACAGGTCTTTTTATACAATTCGCCTTATCAGTTGGCAGATATTTGTGGCCTATAATGCTCCTAGTGAAAGCAAGCAAGACTATCTTTGCCGATTCCGTGTGACCTTTCTCGCCTGGCGCTGGTAATCTTGCAAGCTAATTTATGGAAAAAACAATTGTTGTTGCTCACCATTTTGTTTCTTTTAAAGGTGAGACGATGGTGCATGCCTATGTGTGTGTATAGGTATGATTGTGGGTAGGTATGATAAGGTTATCAATGGTCTTTAATTTAATATTATAAATATTCCAGAACAGATGTGCAGAAGCATATTTATTTCTTTATTTATTTGATGGGAATGATTTAAATCTGTAAATAAATTTATGGTTGCTTGTAAGAAAATTATTTCTGCTAATTACTTTCGCCCTGATCTCTTCTTAATTGCCAATGTCTTGGAAAACTACTCACTCTGTGTGCTTTGTTGTAAATACATATATATGTAAAGAAATAGACGTGATTATAAATCTCGTCCTACGGCCGATGATAAATTTTGTACACCTGTTATCAAAATAGAAAATTCATAAAAAAAAATATTAAAAAATTTATAAAAAAAAAAACTAAAAAAAATAATTAAAAACAAAAATAAAAAAAAAAAACATAATATTAAATTAAAAAAATATTTAAAATAAAAAAAACTTAAATAAATTGAAATAAAAAAAAATAAAATTAATTAAAATTAATCAAAATTAATTAAAAAAAAATAAATTAAAACTAATTAAAATAAAATAAAATAACAGTACTTTGCTTTCAAGTCAGATTTTCTCGCCCTGACATCGAATGGACTTGAAGATTGGATGTTCGGCTTCATCTTCGTTTGGCATCATTTCAGTTACATTGCGGCTCCTCAGCTTTGCCTTTTTGGTGTAAATATTTCTGGAAGTATCTGTGCTCCAATAGCATCTGTGTGACATAGTAGTCCACCTCTCCGACTTGCCAGTTAGTCCATACTTGGACATCTGCTATTAACCTGGCCGTATATCGGCCGCGGTTTTCTGATTTTCATTGGGATTGTTACTGATACGGGACTTCCTTTCGTATGTCCTCTCTTGTGGTTTTGACGACGCTTTCCTGGGCCCTCATTTTTTTAAGTGTTCAGTTACTTTTCTCTTCGGATGCCATGAGGTTGATGGGAATGCATCCGCTTATTACTGATACCACTGATAGTCCATCTAATTCGATATGATATGCCGATGTTACCCACAAAGCTGCTGTGTGAAACACTTTGGTCAGTATCTTTCGTCGGCTACACTGCTTCGAGGAGTCAGCCCATAGTTCTGCTCCATATAATAAAGTGCTGACAGTTGTCGATACCAATAACTTCCCCTTCGGCTATTTCCGAGGCGTGTTTTTTTTTGCGTTCAGAAACTTAGTCTGGGATCCGGTTTTACGCCTAAGTAGTTGACAAGTTTTGTCGTTCTCAGGGTATTTTGAGGATGTGTATATGCCTGTTTCTTAAGGGATGTGCTTCAACGTTAGAAGTAGCATCTCGGATTTCTGATGTAACTTTGAGTTTCATCGGGCCATCTTGATAGTTTGATTTAGTGAGACTCTGACCATTATGCTTAGATACTTGGGTATATTGGATTTTTTACCTAAAACTTCAATCATATCATTCCATTGAGCACTGTTTAAGCCATTTCAGACATCTAGTTTGGCCAGAAGAACAAGCGCTCAAATTTGTTGTTTCCTCTTTGGGCTTCTTCGACGATCTTGAATACATTTAACTGCTTCCGAAATTAATTTTCCAGGCCTGCTTTAGTGTGAGGCTCGAGTGGTGGTAATGGCTGTTTCTAGTCTCGGCTTAAGCAATCTTTCTAGGAGCTTTACGGCAGTATCCAGCATACAAAGGGAGCGGTATGCTGATGGGTTGTCTTGGTCTCCTTTCTCTTTACTAATAAGAACTAACTTTTGTCTTTCTGGGAATATACTGGAGTTGAGACAGTCATTATACTCGTACATATCCAGAAATAGTTTAGGACGGTTCGCAGTAATAGTCTCTAAGACCTCTGTGGGAAATCTATCTGGGCCTGGCGAATTGTTTGGTTTCAGCCTACTTTCTACAAGTTTCAGTTCTTCGGTAGTGAAAAAAGATATTTTCAATGGAGCTTTATCTTACCGCAGTGTTCCATATGTTGGGAAAAGGCTGTTGACAATCTGGTCCATTTTGCTCGGGTTTAATTCGGGATGTGGTACTCTAGCTACAAGTTTTGACATTACAAATTTATTATCTAGCCCCAGCGATTCATGTTTAAGCCGTTGAGAAGTTCCTCGCAGCTTACCTTCTTACTAACTTCAATCCCGGGTATCAGTTTCCTTTCCATCGTTGTATTGCCTCTTCACCTTTTCCTTACGTAAGTTCGTTTTGTTTTAATAAAATATAGAATATGGGGATTCTTTAAGTGTAGTGTATCTACAACAACTTGTGAAGACAACTCAGTTTCAGGCCGCAAGGACTTTGTTTGCAACGATATTTTTATTGACGAAGACAGCATATGAAATAAGAGAACACACTAAAGACACATGGCAAAATGAAATTTTCGAAAGAGCAGAAATATTATATCAAGTAAAAGGTTCGTTCGGTTTTTTTTTATTGATTTTCCAAAATATGATAACTTTGTGTACATTTGTCCGATTTAAGTCAAATGTACGCCGTTTTGTTCGTAAACTTGTTGCCAACGAGATGCCAACTTCATTATATCCCTCTCTTAGAAGGCTAAGTCCCTATTGGCAAGAAACTCTTAGATCCAATTTTCCTCTCTTGGGGCTAACTTCTCACCATTAAGCGCATTCACCATGGACAGGAAAAGATGGTAATCACTTGGTGCCAGGTCCGGACTATAGGGTGGGTGCATTAGGACCTCCCACTCGAGCTCCAGGAGCCTCTATCGCGTTACCAAAGACGTGTATGTTTGGTGTTGTCTTGATGGACCACAAATTCAGTCTCTGTTGATCAAAGATGGCCTGTTCTAGATGAGGGCTGCCTTCAAGCGATCCATTTCTTGGCAGTAGAGGGCCAAATTGAGCGTTGGGCCATAGGGGAGCATCTCGTAGTACATGATTCCTTGCCAATCCCACCAAACACACATAGGCCGTCAATCTGGTCTTGGCCACCGACTGTGACGCTTCACCGAGCTTTGACCACGACCGTTTGCGCTCGATGTTGTCGTAAGTGACTAATTTTTCATCGCTAGTTACAATTCGCTTCACAAACGGGTCGATTTTGTTGCGATTCAGCAGCGATACGCAGATGGAAATTCGGTCCATCATGTTTTTTTGCGTTAGTTCGTGTGGCACCCAAACATCGAGCCTCTTTTTGAATACAAGATTTTGCAAATGGTTTCAAATGGTTTTCTCTAGTTTCTCAGCAATTAAAAAGTGCTCACGTGACGGTCTGTTTCCACTACTTCCATGATTTTATCGCAATTTACGACGACAGGCCTCCCGGCGCGTGGTGCATCTTGGACATCGAAACTACCGGTACGGAAGCTAGCAAAACACTCTTGTGCTACATGGTCGTTTACAGTATCGGGCCCATAAACTAAATTGATTTTTTCAGCCGCTTCGGCTGCTTTTTCGCCTTGATCGAAGAAAAATTGTAAAATATAGCGAATTTTCTCTTCGCTGGTGTCCATCTTTGACGAGCGCTCACAACGTACTGAGTCAATCAATCGAAAAACTGCCAAAGACAAACTTTTAACGCGAACAAACACGTTTTCAGCGCCGTTTAGTATGGCATGATGCGACACGTAAAACCAGTACTATGGACAATAACGCCATCTCTTAGATAAAAACCGAACGAACTTTTTACTACACCTAATATTGTATGTACGTCTCCAGGCGTGTTGGCATGGCTTAACGATGTGCATAATTTTTGAATTTATAATTTTTATATTATTTTCACTTCTATTAATTAATTTTTATTTAGCATCAAATGAGGCGCATCGCTTATCATTAAATGCCAAAAAATTGCATTTTGCACGTAGAAAAAAATAGGAAAATCATAATTTGAAACAAAAATAAATGTGGCATTAAATATGATCTGAACCATGTCTACGCTAAACGCCATCACGTACTTTGTATTTTATACATTATAATAATTTATTATTTTTAGCATTATGCATTAGAAGCAAAAGGTTATCGTTAAATAATTTTCTGCACAACATATACTCCGACATATCTATGCATTTATACATACATACACGTATACTGACTGCAATTTAGAAAATATGCATTTTTTGAAATGAAGACTGGCGCGCATTTCGAGTTTTTTGCGCAAAAATTACAGTTAAATTGAAACGAATACGCTAAGCGGATGTCGTTAGTTATTGCACCAGAGTGGGTGTGGTTCGATCGCTGATCGTACGAAAGTGAGATCGATGCAAACTACTTTCAGTGAATATCAGAGCGCATAGGAAGGAGTCATGGGCTGGCAAGGCACAGTCAAAATATGTAAGGAATTTAAATTAATTATTAGTGAAATGATTCAATTTCATGTACCATTTCGGATGCTTCCAAAATAATGGATATAATTTCGAGCATAACACGCGGACCTCAAACCTCTTTCGAACTGTTTTCAATAGCTTAAAAAGTTCTTCTGCGTAAGATTCTTCCAAAAAATAAGCTTATTAATATAACCCTAACCAAAGCAAACTGTTACTAAAGGAATGCATACACAGAACCGCTGTGAAAAGGTCGGCATAAAAATTGATCTACCGAAAGCCGTGGCAAACTCGCTTGCAGCGAGACCAGAGAAGGTCTCATAATTTGAAATCTCCGTAAAAGGTGTATCTTTCAAAGGTAATTGGAATCCATTGCTTTACAGAACGGTATTCAGAAAAGTTAGTCACACCTTTCAGAAGATGCTCTAAATAAGAGCTGTAGAAATGGTGAGGTTCTGCTGAGAACAACGTTCATATGATAACACCATGGGCTGACTGTAGCCTAATTGGTTTAATGCAATGATAAATATACCGAGAGTTGAAGAGAAAAGATAAATCATTTGCAGAGAAAAATGCAAATAGGCTTAAAGAGATCTAAGTACGAAAGAAGCTTGTCGATAGAGATGATACTTGAAAGTTCTATGAAGAGTTGTAGCGACTTACAGCCATTTTCAAGACTGAGGCATAAGAGTACTCCAGTAGGTAAGTGAAAGGAGAATAATGTTCTTATAGCATGTAACACTTCTGCAGTCTGCCGAATGGCTGTAACAGCTAGCGGTTGGTGATCCAGAACCATCAATCGATGAGGATGGAAAAACCGTTGTTATACAGACTACAATGAAGTTCGCACAGCGTTCGTACGCTTGAATAATAACAAAGCGGCTGGTGCCGACGACTTGCTCAGTGAACTATGCAAATACGTTGGCGTAAAACTGACAAGATCCATGTCAATCTATAAAAATAAGTTTTCTTAATATTCTACATAAGGCTCTATCTAGCGTAATATGTGAGAGACTTAAGCCTCTATAAGCGAACTGATTGGATCTTATCAGTGATCCACTAAAGCCTTATCTTTGGTAAGGCCTTAGGGAGTAGGATCGATATCACAACACCTCGGACCTGCCTCTGCGCCACTTTGTCTGAAGTTGGTATCGCCGTAAAATTTAAACCTCTAGTTAAATAGAAGCTTAGTACTAATAAAATCTTCGTCAGAGTTGGAAAGAAAATCTCCAAGTCGTTCGATACCAAATGAGGTATTAGACAGAATGATTCTCTTCGGTGTGACAGCCTCAAAGTATTTCTACAGAAAATAGTTCGAGCTACAGAGATAAATATAAAGAAAGTACAATCTTCTACAAGAATGTGAAACTGCTGGTGTATGCTGATAATATTGATCGTCATTTCTGTTTTTTTTTAGTCTAGATAAGAAGGTGAAGCGAATGTGTGTGGTAGCCAACGGAGACAAGAAAAGAAAGTTCCTCTCTCAGCGAACAAAGCCCATACTCTATAACTTGTCATAATACTGTCGTCCCGCAATATGGTGCAGAAGCATGGTCGAGGACGATTTCAGATGAGTCGTAGCTTGAAGTTCTCGAAAGAAAGGTTTTGCGTAAGACTTATGGAACTTTTCTCATGAAAGTTCTAGTAAATTCCTCACAACGAATTAAGAAACAGCGGCTGCGCTGGCTAGGTCATGCCGTCCGTAAAGGTGAAAATACTCCAGCTTTGAAACTATTTGATACAATATCTAACGGCGAAAGCAGAGCAAGAAGAAGACCTCCACTATCTTGCAAATGTCAGCCGTCCTTCTTCTGTTTTAACTTCACGCGAGTGACCCCAATAGGCGCGAAACAGCCACATTAAAGAAGAAAGGACCGACGTGTTATTATTGATTCGGGTACAATCGCGTAAATGCTGCCTATACCAATGAAGAAGAAGAATTATAGAAATATCAAATTTTCTATCGCAAAATAATATATGTACATATGTACGCTTACAAAGTCTATTTTTATTAAATTCGTCGGCATTATTTGATAATTTTCTAAATTATTTTTTATAACATATTTATATTTATTACATATAGGTATTTTCATTTTCTAAATTAAAAGTACTGCTATTTGGATCGCTGGTAGATCTTTTATTGCCAATTTTATCAGCTTCATGCACTGTTGTTGGCAAAATTGTATTTGAGGTTTCTGGAAAGAGCAGTGAGAGGCAACCGCTGATTAGAGCAAAGGTTGCAAATAATATGGCCGGTGCATTTGCATAATATTTAGCCTGAAAGTAGACAACGAAAAACATAGATTAATTATGTACTTTTTAAGTGAAAAAGTCACCTGCAAAAAAAATCCTATGCGCATGGTATCTTAAGTCTCCCGAAATATCTAAAAAAGTTTAATCCATTTTCACTCGCAATAAATATGCCCTATTTGGCTCGATAAGTTTCTGCCATCTTGAAAGTAATGCCATTATGCCTCTCTAAATGAAACAGTTGCTTCTCTTGGCAAAGAATTGGCACAATCGATTTTTACAGGCTTCTCTTGAGACCAATTCTCCAACAGCCAATTCATTCTTTATACACAGAAACAGTTAGTAATCGCTTGGTGCTAGGTCCGGTCTATCAGATGAATGCATAAGAACCTCCCAACCAAGCTCTAAGAACTTCTGGCGAATCATCATCGATGTGAGTGGCCAGACGTTGTCCTGATGAAACTCAATATCCCTACCGTTGACCAAAGATGAACCGATTCCTGACAGTAGAGGTCTGAATTAATACTGTGAGGCCTTACGTCTCACTATACTTCTATACTTCTTTTTTTCACTCTTTGGTCTTATTTGAAAACACCAAGCGATAATCTTTACCTGATCCTTCCAACACAGTGCATACCTTCTCTTATAACCGAATACAACATCTATTCGGACGACATGATCTAACCAGCGTAGTCCCTGTCTTTTTATTCGCTGTACTTCCATAAAACCTTTTACTCGAAAACTTTTCATGCCGACTCGTCGGATGTCGTCGCGCTTTCTCTGATCCAATGTACTTTTGCCTGGCCTAAAGTCACACGGGTAAGATCCAATCAGTTTTTGACGGTAAACTGTAATATTTCAAAGAAGAACACTCGATATAACCTTATATGCGATATTAAGGTGACTCAATCCGCGATATTTAGCAGATTTTGTGGGGTCGTTCAGTGGATTGGACTGAGCACACTTACATGTGGTTTCCTGACGACCAAATTTTGCATAGCAGCTAATGCAGACACCTTGTAAGTCGTGAATAACTCAGTCGGTACCGCTGTTATGCGATTCTCTAATCAGGCTATCGCTATTCGTACCACGTCAGAGTGGATCAATGGAATGACTGTTCTATTATCAACAATTGGGCACTCGAGTTGTCCAACTCCTGGATGGTTGACCATATACTATAGAACTGACCCAATTAAGCTAAAATATCTAGTACCTTGCATATTGATGGCGCCTAACCTATAACCACGGCAATCAGAGATCAGAGCACATGATTTGCAGATGCGCGAGTGTGGCAACGATAGTCAGGTACTTCTTTCCCTGTGAGATGCACAGCTATAGAGACTTCGAGTGCAGTCTACTAAGAGCCGAAGCGTTTTGCTACAATTTATCTACGGTATGCGCGTCATCGTCGCCCATTCTAGACTCCCTGGTACAGGCTCGCCAGCCGAATCTAAGGTAACTTAATTTCAAATTGTTTATAATTACGCTTATACTTACCAACAGCGGCGTTTGTGGCGCCACCATCGATCCAATTCGGCCAACCATCGAACAGAACGACATCAGACTGTTGCGTAAATTTGTTGGAAATATTTCCGAGGTAAAAAAGTATAAAACTTGGAAGGCAGCGGTGATGGCGAGTTTACCAACTAAAAATAAGCTCAGCTGCATATAGTAATGTTCTGTAAAGCAGAAAATAAAATGTTACTGGGTAAAACTCTACTCCATTGAAATCACCTACCCGAGTCCACAAATACCGTACAAAGACAGCACAGGCCACTGAGCAACATATAACCGCAGAGAGAATATCGTCTACCATAACGATCCATCGTTAGGCAGGGTATAAAAAATCCGGGTATCTCCACGAACGCGATCAATATGAAATTATAATATTTATTGCCGCCCAAAAGTACAGAATTCAAACTCAGACCATAGTAGACGAGCACCGTGACGACCCAACACAGCGAACAGTTCGCAATGCGAAAGAATAATTTACCAAACGCTTCACGTAGCGGGAAACGGCCGCCACACTGTGTGGATAGTTTCTCACGATTCGCTAAAATCAACTTATCCAACGAGGGATCGGACAATCTACGTTTGTTGGTTTGTGCAGCGCGCTTTAATACATCCGTTGCTTCCGTTTCGCGCTCCTGACTCAAAAGCCAACGTACACTCTCTGGCAGTACCCAGAAGTAGGATAACATCGCCAAGGCGGGTATGTAAAATATACGAAGTATAATACGCCAATTCGGGTAGTACATTGCGACCACAGCCAAGAGCATTTCGCCAATTGCGTAGAAAATTGTAATTATACTACAAGCGAATACACGCTTGCTGGGACCCACCAGTTCAATGCCAATAATGAAGCAAATCGAATAGAGTGAGCTATTGGCGACATTATCGAGGAACTCGAAGATGAGGAATGGCACATAAGTTGTGGTAAACGAACGCATAATGCCAAAGATGGCACTGAGCACGCCACCCAGAGCAAGCGCATTACGGCGTCCATACCTATGAGAGTGCGTATGGAAAAAGTGAAAATCTATTACTCTCGAAAGTAGCTACACACTCACCTATCCGATATAAGGCCGCCAAGTGGTATGCCGAAGAATTGTCCGACATTATTAATTGTGCCGGTTAAAGTGAGTTTCCACTCGTCATCGCAGTAAATACCGAACTGTTGGTTTGGATAAAATTAATATTCTATAAGTTTACACTACCGACCCACCTAAGAAATCTTCACATACTCACATCATTTGATATCGTAAGTTCGTCGTTGCGAAAAATGAAATTATGCGCACAATCCTCTGTAAGTTCTTGGTTAAAATTATCTGCCGTGCAGTACTGCTCATCTTCCCGTGGAGTTGTCCAGTTGGTAGTTGCTCTCGGCGCGTATCGCTGACATTGATCTAGTTCACGACCCTTCATCGGTATAGCGAATTTTACCCAGGGCTCATCGTAAGCGCTCTGTGGTCCATCACATTCACTGATGTTGCACCTGCGGGGAGAGAGATAAAGTGGAATTAATTATCAAGACTAAACAAGGACTCATGAACGGGTGCTTCATTGATCACAATGCTGTTTGCTGATGATACGATTAATTGTACAAAAACTATTTTTACGTGGGAGACGAAAGCTTTACTCAATTTTGGTGGGTAACTAAGAGTTCTGCCAGAAGAACTTACGAGGTGTGACAATTAAATAATGAGACTGGTTCCATAAATTTCAAAATTATTCTACAACTCCGCCATCCCATTCAAGGAAAATACCTTGGACAGCTATACAACGATTCCAGCGCGTTTTCGGTGCTTTGTAATATTTCTGGAACGCTTCGACTGGGATGTTCCTCGTCACGCCCGCATTGATGTCCTCAATCGACTCAAAATGGGTTCCTTTGACTATCGATTTTATTCTAGGGAACAAAAAAGGCACAGGATAACATATCGGGCGAATAAGGCGATTGTTGCAACACGGCGATCCCTTTAGAAGCCAAATACTGGGACACACTGAGGGTGGTGTGGAACGGCGCGTTGTTGTGATGAAGGATCCGAGCGATGTCTGGGCATTCACTGTTGACTCATTTTCGAAATTTTTCGAGTACTTGGCGATAGTAAACTTGATTTACGGTTTGCCACGTTGGAAGAAGTTATTTGTGGACGATTCCACGGCTATTAATAGAGGCAATATTCATCGTTTTTCCATTTTCGTGACGAGCACCACGAACACACGTTTGCTCAACACGTGACTGTAGGCGAACTAAACAAGCTAGAGCTATGGCAAATATATCAATGGAGAGGAAAAGGATGCCGTGCAGTACTGCTTTGTAAGACCTGAATATTTCTTCCTTACTTTGGTGCTCTTACTAAAACTTCTTTTGTCTGATAAGCTTTTTGTTGACAAATATTCAAGGTTTGATACCTCTGGGATTCCAAATGTTCTGTGATGCCTTTGTGAGAGAACTTTCCTTTCCGATTCGCAACTGTAGCAGTGTCTGCTGTTGAGAAAAGCCATTTTTGTAGCATACAAGATCAGTGACTCGGTATTGTGCCTTTAAGTTTATATACCCAAATAGATTCTTCGTTTTTGGTATGCCGTACTTGGGCCAAATCTGCGTTGTTAACTTAAAGTTGAATATAGATTTTCAGCTGTTGAGTGCAATACATTCAAATACGACGCTCTGGAGCGTCCCAAAGGAGCATCGTCGAGAGATACTCCCTACCTGACCTACTCGTCGGCTTTTTCATAGCCGAAAATATTTCTATGATCGTGACTTATCTTCGCTTAGCTAACCGCGTATAAAGTTGCCTTTTTATCCATGACACCTCTTAAGGAATTTTCTTTGTCAATCACTTCGGCTTGGAAGTTACTCTCTAAGTTTGGTGGGCACAAGGAAAGTGCCTTGTAAAAGGTATTCTAACGTGGAAGCAACAATTGAAATCTAAGCTTGGGAGTATATAGTCGGATTGAACTAAAGTGTTGTGAGCAGGTTCAGTATATCGCTATATCGAACTAATTTTTGAGCTTAACAACCTCAGCCCATAAATCTGACATTAGAACCTTCTGAAAATTTGCGAATTAATTTGTCTTTTGGCCGTTGATACAGTAGCTTCTTATGCCCATTTGTAGACCATAAACTAATGGCTTCTTTCTTAATATTGTACTGTTTCTGTCATGTCTACTGAGTATTCACTTTCAAGCGGTCCCCATAATCTTTCTTTATTCGCATTTCAATACTCATCTTCCAGTTCTGTTTGATGTCAATTTCAAGCTCCAGATATTTTACAAGGCAATCGGTTATTATTGAGGAAGGTGAAATTGTGGTAATTCGATTATATTTGTATACCACATCAGCACCATAATGTGGGTACTCAAGTAACTCTATGAATTATTTAGAAGTTGGCTTTCAATGCCGCCGTGCGATACACCAACTCTCTAGTGGATTGGAGTAAACACATTTAAAACTATCTCCATTCCAATCTCTCTTCATTAAACTCTTAGTATCGACACGAATACACTACAACATTCAATTGACCGCCACGCGAATTTTCCGCAAGCTTCGATCTGTTTGAGATAAATTTCGATCACTTTTCGGCACATATTGTGCTGTATCTCAGCTATAACTTGAAGAGTGTTTTTTTCAAAGTGTTCAAGAGTTAAAGGCTTGTCTGCATATAACACGGGTTTTCCGTAGCTGCACAAAAAAAAGTTCACACGATCTCGGCACGACCGAGACGAGAGAATCACAGCCAGGAGATTTATATCGCAATAAAGCCATATTCGCTCGGGTTGTGTGACATGTGGCACTATTCTGTTGAATCGACAGTGACAGTCTCGCCGTTGTAAGCCTATCTACCAGCGAAGGCTTTAAAATTAAATATTAATGCTCTTTCGCGTAAGGCGTACGATGAAAACTTTGGATCGTAATAAAATGGAGCTACAACTGGTACTACAAAGGCCCAAAGAACCTATGTGAGATGCGTCAGCCGCCCCGTGTAACCTAACCTCATCTAACCTACCTATCATTTATTTGCTCTAACACTTTTTATTAAGAGTTTTTCTCTATCAATTATCGTTAGTCCAAGTATATTTGAAATTAAAGCGAAAGATGATAAAATAAAATAAAATAAATAAATTTATTTGTACGCTAATAAAAATGTGTTAATAAATTTAGCAAATGTGGAATTTCACAGAATCAATTATCGATCAAAACTCGAATAAATAATATATGTTTGTTTGTATTCACTTCAAGGAAATGTTACAAATTGTCAAGCCAAGCATGAGAAAAAGTGTGCAAATCAAACATTTAATTATCACCTGCTTGTGGGAAAAAAATATGTTGCATACTAGGGAAGCAACAAAAGTTAGCGGAATTAATTAAAAAGAAGTTTTAATCAATTTCATCTCGTACTAGCTAATCGACTTTCATAGGCTTCTCTTGAGGTCAATTCATTACCAGCCAGATCATTCGACATAGCCAGGCATAGGTAGTAAACACTTGGGGTGGGGTCCTTACTCTAAGAAGAAACTCCGAAAGAAGCTCTCGGAATTTCTTAAGAGTCACTATCGATGTGTGTCGGCTGGCGTTGTCCTGATGTTGGACAAAGCTGGCCGTTTCTGGGCGATTGCTACCATTGCTAACAATAGAGGTCTGAATTAGGAGCTTGATCGTTGGGTGAGCAGCTTATAGTTGATGATTTCTTGTCAGTCCCACCGTTCTAAACTAATTTCAACAGTTACCATCCGCCTCAAGTGGTTCCAAACCTTTTTTTTTTGTACAATGTTTAGCTGTCTTTCTGTTGATGTACACCCTTAACTTGCGCTCAAATACTACTGAGCTAAGTGATCAATACTTCTGGTATTATATTTAAGAGTAGGAAATCTCCTCTTCCTAACGTCATCTAGCGTAATCCGAACGCTCTTATAGAATGCGAGATACTAAGCCATACATTTTTGTGGCTTTAAAAAGTTTATATAGAATTTCGTATGTTGCTCTAGCCAGGGAATATCGAAGTTAAGTCCTCTATAGTATTCAGACCTTAGTCGCAGGGGTATTACTCGAATCACACACGACAGTCCGAGCACGTTTATAGCACGTTTGCTATAACGCCATTCGCATTGAGAGAGTTTAGAAAGTTTTTAACTCACTATTTGCGAATGGCGTTCAATGTGTGTCGGAAGCACGTCTTCAACTGAGAGCATAGATGATCCGTAATATAGAAGTCTAATCGTTTAATCTTCGATCGAAATTAAAAGGCCGGAGAGGCTGTCGTTTTCTTTCGATAACCTGCTTGGACGTGAAGATGTAGCAAACATTGCCATAAGAGCTCAAGGAGTATTGCTCTTGTGGCAGAGGGTAGGGGCCTGAAAATTTAAAAATTAAACAATATTGGGGAGAATAAACCTCGCTGGCGAAACACTTTTTTTACCGTATGTTAGCAATAACGTACCGAATATTCGCTACCAAGACTTCAAACGCTTTGGGTATAGACATGCGACTTCTCATAACCCCACAACAGATAGTAAAATGGTATTAAATCGCACGATCTCTGAGGCCACGCCTCAAGTCCACCACTGTAACATTATGGTCTGCTTCGTTTTTGAAAAAATGTAAACCAGTGACTCCCTCTGGCCACAGACCACAAGAAGCAATGATTTTTTGAGCATGAAATGGTACCTCAACAATGTCTCGAGGATTAACAACACTTCAAATGGTTTATTAACTTATAGCTTCTACCAAGAGTGCACTGGAACGCTAAACAAAATATTCTTGCTAAAATCGGGATCGATGGCCATCTCGTCATTGGCTTATTCGGCAGAACTGCGACGCGTTTAAAGATCGTTCGGCTTCAATTCTTGTACGAATTGGATTTTGTAAGCTCGCAAACCAAGTTCTTCTCGGAAAAATTTTCAATAAAGTGAATGTGTTCACAGCTCCAATTGTTGGATTGATGGGAGATGAATTCATTTGAGTTTTCTTCCATACTCCGCTCCATAGCAGCAATAGCGTCTTTAATGCCCACTGTAGGACGTTTCTGAGGATACGCATTATCCACTAGAGTGCTGTTCGGTGAAACTGATCCATGGTTGCTCGAGTCATGGACTCTGCTGAGCGATTAGGTCGACTGAATATTGAACACAGTGCGCGAGGGGTCTCACTAAACGCGCCCTTACATTGGTAATAAATTTGGAAATGCTGCTCCGGTCTGTTAAGTACATGACAGGTAAGAGCCAGGAAACATACCAACTCTGAGGAAAGTATTGTCTCATTAAATACTTCTTGCTAAAAAGAGCACACTTTATTTAAATTTTTGCATTTCTCTTTGAACTGCTCATAATAAACAATTATTTTCTTTAAAAATTTTTTAAATAATGTAAAATATACACACACTCTTGTGTACATATATATTAGATAATGTATGGACAGCTGCTTCTTTGTGTTTTTTTTTTGCTTTATTAAAATTGCACATTTATTGTATTTAGTATTATTTAATATTTTTGTTTATTACTCACCTGTGCGCCACATTGCCAGCTGTAAATATGTATGTGACGGATGAGACAGCATTGAACAGCACCGGCAGGCAGGTGAGTATTAGTATAACGGTTTGAAAGCGCCCAAATTCACCCAAACGTATAAGTATGGCATCCAAAGTTGACTCTTCATTGTTGTTGTTGTTGTGGTTGGAGGCAGGCAAAGATTCAATACTTTGTGTAGCACTTGTCGGCGTTGGCATATTTTTCTATTTCTCTTTTTTTTATATATTTTTTTTTTGTTTTTGTTTTTTTTTCTTTCTTTTTGTTAAAAGCGCTGAAATTTTAAATTTATTATTACATGCTATTTGTTTGTGTAAATAGATTATGGAATAGCGAGCTTTCGAACTTTCAAAAATTAATGCAAAAAATCCGGTAAAATCGGGAAAAAATTATTAGCGATAAAGTAAGTGGGCCGACCGGCGAACGCGCAGCGCGACAGGTGACGATTTTGAGTTGAGATTGCTATGTGCATTAAGTAATGCAGTTTTTAAAAATTTTACATATATACAAACATACGAACACGGATGCACGTACGAGTATGTATTAATTACAGTAAATTGATATTTGCCACTAAATAATTCACCACAATTCATTCACTAATTGCTCGTGGTTGGAAGGAAGGAGGGAGGCTTATATATTTTGATTTTTTTTTTTTTCGTTTTGCACTGACATTTAATGCACTAGTCGGGCACGTGCAAAAATACAGGGCTCTCCAATAAGAGTTGTTATTTTGATATTCAATGAGACATGGCATTTTTTGAGATAAATGATCGAATATTTATGTTAATGCGAAAAGCACGATATGTCAATAGTAATGGATGCAATATCAGCCCGCCACTGCTACGTTTACAGGACAGTGGGCTTTTTATGAAATTTCCCATCAGCAAATTGCAATTTGGATGCTGTATGCCCTCAACAACTTCACGAATTCTATCTTCTCTTTTATAGTAGTTCCAAAGGAAAAAGTCGCAAGGTGTTAAATCACAAGGTCACGATCACCTCCTCGAGAGATAACACGGTTCGGAAACTTTTTCTTGATAAGGATCAATCATTTCGCTGCTTGTGTGACACACAGCGCCGTCTTGTTGAAAGTAAACATTATACAGAGAAATACCATATAATTTGAGCCATAAAATGTCATCAATCAACTGTCGATAGCAAGCACAATCCATTCACCTTAACTGTTGCTTCAGTCGCAGTTGCGAAAAAGTAAGGTCTAACGACACCGTTGCATCACAAAATGCTTCAAACAGTAACACTTTGGGGACGTAGAGGCTTTTTAACAATGAGTCTTGGGGTTTCCGTGCGCCAAATATGACAGTTTTGCTTATTGACGTAGCCATCCAGGTGGAAATGTGCCACATTCATCAAAATTAAATTTTCGATTGAATTCCCGAGATATGACGTTGTTCACGATCGGGCGGCTTGAGTTCTTACAATCGGTGTACAACTTTGCATCCGCCGTTTTTTTCCAAAATTAAAAGCTTTTTTGCGAAAAAGTGCTTACAGATATATTATTAAAAGTATTGTCGCTAGCGAACAACTTTCTCCCATCTTTCCGGCAATTTTCGGATCCCGGCTCGAAAAAAGGAGTCTCCTTTTGACGCTATCCATGAAGCAATCCATTTTTTCAATTCTTCGAAGGATTGAAAATGTTGATCTGCGAGGCCGTGTGCCATCGAACGGAATAGGTAGAAGTCGGAAGGAGCGACATCTGGGGAATACGGCGAGTGGGGCAAGACTTTCCATTTCAGCGTTTCCAGGTACTTTTTGACCACTTTTGCGACGTGAGGCCTTGCATTGTAGTGTTGGAGGATGATTTTGTCATGTCGCTCTTGATATTGTGGTCGCTTTTCTTTTAGCGCGCGACTAAGGCGCACCAGTTGCGTTCGGTAGCGATCTCCTGTGATGGTTTCACCCGGTTTTAAGAGCTCGTAGTAATTCACACCGAGCTGATCCCACCACCACCATGTTTGTCTTCGACATCGAGATCACCATTTTTAAAACGTTGAAACCACTCCCGACACGTTCTTTCACTTAGGGCAGCAGCATGACCGTAGTTTCTGAGAGCATTCGATGCGCTTCAGCTGATTTTTTTTCGAATTGTAACAGAAAAGTAAAACTTCCCGCAAATGGCTAGAATTAGGCACATAAACGGACATTTTCGAGCGTGAATAATGCGAAAACAAGAACAGCTGTCACTGAAACGGCGATGACAATTCGTTGGGCACTGTCCACACTCACTTTAAAGGCATTGTCATCTATGTATTTCAACCAGCCTCAGCCGGTACAGCCACCTATCGGAAAACGGCGGAAGCAAAGTTGTACACCTGATAACTGAACTTTATAAGCCTTAAGACGCAAGTTTTTATGCAAAATACGTTGTAATGACGTTGGTGAAATACCAAATTCCAAAGAAAGCCTAGGAGTGGACAAATCTACATGTGTTTTACTATTCTTCGCATCTCTAACTTGCCCACCAGCAGCTCAATTTTTTTCAACAATTTCTGTCTAGCGATCCGACAAGCTGTATCACGACGACCGAGTTAGTTTTATTAACCGACTTTGCCAGGTTTTCACCATTTTTATAATGAGTTCAACGAATTTCAATGCGTTGTTGAAGCGGCTTTTGTCCAATTTTTATTAATGGCGTAGTTTCTACTTGTCAAATGTGGAAAAATTACTGCTTCAAAGGCGACATCTACCGAAATGGCATCTACTCTTATTTGATAACCCTTTATTTAAACATATGTATATACAAATATATTTTTAATAATTTTTTACACAACCGGCATCAATTCAAGTAAAAATGTGCATTTATATATATATATATATATATATTTGTATCGTCGGTATGTTGCTAGAACCGTTATTTACGGCTAATCACACACCCGTTTTGCTGCTTATAGGTATCACCATGTATTCGTATGCTTGTATGCAGAATCACCTATAATTGCCACGCACGTTTTCATTAACACTTTTGCGCATGCGCAACTATTTACATGCCGCACAACATTGCAAACGAGCTTTGCTTAGAAAATATTGTAAAATTTTTTTTCGTTTATTGAAAAAATTTTTGTTTTCTTCTAATGTTTTTGTCTTCTAAAGCTACTTCACAAGTTCAACGACGATCAACCGCGTTCGATCTATACGCCGGCAGGTGTAGAATGCGAATGAAAACAGTGGGCCAATTGGCGTATTGTGTGAGCGAGTTGTACACAATTTGGGTACGAGTTTCAGTTAATGTTCAAGTTGTATCTTAATTTATGCACACATACATTCATGTTTGTATGTGAGGCGATATTAAATTTTTACATAAATTCTTAACCATTAACAATTATTTACAATTATTATTTTTGTTGCTTATTGTTGAATTTTTGGTCAATTTCTCTTTTTTCGGCTTGTTTGTTTGTTTAATCTGTAAATTTTTTTTTTTTGGATTACCTTTTAACCATGATAATGACTTGTAAATATAATTTATTTGCAAAGCCGGTTCAGTGGCGGCGCAATGAAAGCGCCATTGGGGGTGGGTAAATGTAAATGTATTTGGTGTTAGTAATACAACAACAACGGTTCTCAGAACATCATTTCGGAAATAGGTTTTGATGATTGTTGCTGAAAGTACTTATCAGTACTTTTGTCAGTTCAGCAACATTTTGGGTCTCAAAGTCGATTTCGAGCACTTTTTCGCGATATTTTCACTTGACCATATCTCGGTTAACCATAAGGAATACTTGTTTGGTGTCTTCGGCAAAGTTGTAGATATTGAATTCGAGAAGAAAATGTAAAACGAAATTAATCGGAAAAAAGTGCAGTTAGAGACCCTATAATCGCAAAAATGCCCATTATTTTTTACAATTATTCACCGCTTTTGGTTAATAACTCGGCCACACTGCCACAAATACGTTGTCTTCTTTTAATTTTTTGACTATATTCCTAATGAATCTTTATATATATAATATATATGTAAGTGCAGTGATTTTCGGCCGCGCTCTCTCTCCATTATGAGATCTACGTCTTGGGTGGAGGGGGACCTAAAGTTCATACTAAGCCTCCTCCAACCGGCTGTTGGTTTTTTATGAGGAGCCTTATTCCATGTCAGAAATACACTGGGAGGGGTTGACATTACCTGCCGAGGAGCGATTGCATGTAGAAAAATTAACTTTTTTTTTTTAATTAATTTTTATTAATTTTTCGACGATGGTCGAACCAGGACTCAAACCTCTGGCCTATCGAATGTCAGTAGGAGATACTAACCACTCGGCTAGTGCGATTGACTAATGAAAGTAATATAGGATTAATCATTAACCAAAATTAAGAGTTGCATTTTGACTACTCTCAAATTTAACTGTCAAACCAAACATGTTTTGTGTTAGTTAAAAGTCTGACATTTATGAAAATTGATCGCTTAACAATCGCAGAACGTCTAAAAAGTGTTAAAATCCTGCACAAAAAATGGTGATTCAAACGTGACCACGGAACAGGAGATTTGGTGCACATAATCGTCCAACTACTCAAGCAATTGATAAAATTTTAAAGAAATTTGTAGAGCCGGGGTCGGTTACAGACTTGTTAAGGCCTGTGCGCCATTAATTCCGTCTTTCCCCCTCAAATATCGCTACAGTGGGAGAAAGTGCTGCTGAAATCTCCTTTGTATCTATTTCTCGACGATCTCAAGATATGGGTCTTTCTAACGGTACATTACAGCTTATTTTGCACTTGCACCTGCACCTAGTTCCATATAAAGTCCAGCTCACTCAAAAACTGAAGCTAGCTCCGTCGTTTGGATGCTTGAACAACATGGAGTGCATGGCGATTTTACGAAAAAAATATTTCTTCAGCGACGAAGTACATTTCTCACACGGGTGATACGTAAATAGCGAAATTGTTACTTCTGAAGCTCTGAGAATAAACATATAATAGCAGAGAGAACAGTACAGCCAAGTAAAGACTTACTGTCTGATGCGCTCGTAGGTGTGTTTGGATCTAACTCCTTTGGTAACGACAACGACGAGACTGTCGTATTATAACCGACTTTATTTGGCCCACAATTGAAGAAAGCCACTTGGAAAATATTTGGTTTCAACAAGATGGTGTCACATGAAACGCAATACGAGCAAATACGGCTTTATGGGGAGAGAAATTTCCTGACCGCGCAATCTCGTGTCTTGGCGATGTCAATTGGCCACCGGGATCGTGCAATATGACATCGTTGGAGTGTTTTTTTTTGTTTTTTTTTTTGGAGACTACGCAAAAGACCTTGTTTATGAGTATTAACCTTTAATTCTTGAGCACTTGATAATGAGCATTCGCCAAGTTATGATTAATATGTGGCGAAAATTGGTGGAAAAGTACCTCAAACAGATCGAAGTTTGCAAAAATCGGCGAGTCGGTCACTTGAATGATTTGAAATTTCACTCTGCTTGTACCACCTACAGTTCTAACATATAAGTTACACAAATAAACGCCATAAATGGTGTTCGGTGGGAAAATTGCGCAACCGTAATAAAAATTAATTACTCTCAGACAGTCAATTAGTTTTTGTAAAATATTAACCAAGGGGGTTTTTGATTTTCCACACAACAATGCTGCATTGATTTAATGTGATTATGTGATAAGTAGTTAATAATAATAATAATACAACAACATGTATGTACATATATTATAACTGAAATAGTAAACGAATAGTTGAGTCTTCAATAGCAGACCGTGTTTCTGAAGAAACATTGTTGATGTTAAACAAAAAATTATAATAATAATTACAATTTACCCGCAAGCACGAGAACACGTTTCAATGAATAAATAAATTATTCTGTGTATGCCAGAATGATGGATCTCTAAGATTGCGCCTTTAGTGGTATCGTTATTCACTGTTGTAAAATTTCGTCACACTTTCGATTCATTCTTCATAATGCATACCAAGTTATTGGTACAGAAGTTGATGATAGCCCTGACTTGGAAGTTCATCAGTCAGTTTATATACGTACTTGCACACCTTCCGATTTTAATGAATTAAAGTGGCCAATTGACAAGGCCGAAACGAGAGCTTACGCGGCCGGGAGATCTTTCCAGCAATAAAGCCATAATCGCACGTGTTATATGGCAAGTGTCACCATCTTGTTGAAACTACATATTATTCTGTCAAGTTCTTTAACAAAAGTTCGTTATCATACGACGATAAAGCTCCTAATCGACAGTGACAGTCTCGCTGTTGTCGTTTTCAAAGCAGTAATGCCTAATCCGGACTAAAGAGCGCACCAGACAGTAAGTTCCTTTTTGGGTGTAAAGGTCTCTCCTCAATTAGTTGAGGATACTCGCAGCCCCAAATGCAAAATTATCGCCAATTAACGTGTCCCCTGAGTAAAAATGTGTCTTGTGGCTTAAGAAAATTTGGTTCGAAAAATCCATTCATCCATCCAGTACTTCTTGTTCAAACACCCAAACGACATAGGTATGTGTCATGAGAATGGTCAGCTGACTTCAGTTGTTATGTGAGCTGGACGTCAAAATGTGCCGTAAGGTAGTCTCAGCTATATTTAAGGTGGAACGAATATTCGTACAGTATCTGTTACCGATGTAGTTTCCTTTTCTAATATTATTAGTTGCTTGAGTATTTAGACGTTTAAGTACACCATAATGTCCCCTTAAAGCACGAATCGTGGTCAAGTTTGAACCATTTTTGTTGTTGGTTTTAATAATTTTAAAACGTTGTACGTTTGTTAAGCGTTCCATTGTTATGAATGCCTGAATTTTAGCTAAAACAAAACATATTTTCGGCTTTCGCCTTTAACTTAGGACCGACTAACGCGTGATCAACCGCTGTTCACACGAAACCCTTCTCCAGTTCAGTCCTCCAAGGTCTCATTCGATTAACAAAAACTAACAAAACATTTTTAGTTTGACAGTTCAGTTTGACAGATGTCAGAATACAAGTCTGTGCTTTCGAAACCAGGAAATGGACAACCTTATACTTGTCTGTTTATTAAGGTATAGGGAAATACTTGAACAGAAGGCGAATCTGAGCGAAAGGAGTTGGATGATTTGGAATATAATGACCCAGCCGCTTATATTAATATACATATTTACTCGTATATTAATGCTGAATACACCAACGAAATTGTGACGTATGCATAAAAAATATCAAAGTTTAAAGGCGCAATCTACATATACTACATCATTCTTTGTGTGTATGTATATTTGTATGTGTGTACAAGTAACCGTAAAAATGTTAGGGTTGAGATTTTAAAAGTAACATATTTTCAAATAAATCAAAAAAAAAATATTATTATTTGGTCCAAAAAGCAAAACCTATTTTGGGATTGGCAAAACAAATTTTTTTTTAATTAAATTAATTATAAACTAGCTTTATATGAGCTGGTGAAGAAATTTAGTATGCCAACACACCACACCAGGTTTAATCAATTTTTAAAACAATAAATTAGGCAAGTATGAAAAGTTTTCTAACTTTGTAAATTCTAATTCAGTGGAAAATATACTCCTTTTTTCAAATTGTGTGTAATATGAATTTGGAATGCAATATTTTTTTTTTTTGAGATTTTGGAAAAATTTTAACAACCCTAGTGTATGTATGTGATATCTATTCTAGATAAAAAATATTAATTTAATTAGCAAATAATATATTCTTTTGAATTATGTAAATCCTTAGCTTGAATGTTTATAATTCATAAAAGTTGTATTGAATTTCTTGAGCAATGCCCAAGTCACGTGAGTGGGATGCTTTCCATCAATATATTGTACAATCTGTAAAAAAAAAAGCACCGGAAATTACTCGCTTCATGGTGTTTTTAAAATACTTGGGATTAAGTGGTACTTTTTTAACTGCCGTCAACTGTCGGTCGGCTTCTAGCATATTTCTCGAATTTATCGATAAAAATCTCTGAGTGCTCGGAGGTGGCTTGAGACACGAATTGGTCGAAGAGCTCGACCGAAAACTTATTTAGCGGTTGCAAAACGCCAGGTACATACTGCATACTAGAAATACTATGTTTAGGAGATGATGAGTAGAAATTGCTTTTCAGTTTGACGCTCTCTGTATTTTATATACCATTTCAAAACATGATTATGGACATTTAAGAGGTTACATAGGTCGTGAGGCCAAAAAAAGCTTATTTTCTCCCATAAATAATGTATACAATTTATTTTGTTTACATATAAAAGTGCAATATGTGAACAACATTTGATGAAAATTTTAATGAAAAATAGTATAAGTTGAGGCGTTGGCAGCGTCGTGAAGTAGACCGTCCACAAGAAAGTGCTTTCGCGGCAGTCATGATGACTTTTCCAATTTTTTTCTGAAATAAAAAATCTAAATTTTTTCATAAAAAAGGTAAATTTTCCTTGTTCCTGAATGAAGAAAAATTCAAAAAAAATAAAAATTGAATTTTCGGTATCGATTTTTTTTATAAGAAACGTAATTTTTTGCATAAAATTATGCCACATATTGGCTTATAAAATGAGTTGAAATTAAAGATAAAATAAATCCTTCATGCAGGGACTAAAAAAGCATGCTTAAAAGATGTGTGGAAAATTTGAACTCAATCGCTTCATAGTTCTTTGAGGAATTTTGACTACCGATTTCGATAAAGTGGTTTTAAGAATAATGCGTTTAAAATTGCTCCATCGGTCAAGCCATGACAAAGACGGCGGGTTATAAAACTCTCTAATTTCTACAGTTTCGTATCGATCGACTTGAAACTTGAGGAAAATATTCCTAACACTTTGTACTTTTATACACAAAATTATCAAAAAAATTAATTTTTTGAAGTTTCAAGACCTATGTAACCCCTTAATGCATTTCCGCTCGACTAGTTTCAATATAACTGAACTTTCTTCCATATCTCGATCGGTTAAAGATCACTGAAAATATTTCAGAAGGATACAATTGTCCCTCAACATTCAAAAAACGCAGTGCAACTGGGATGATCGACATGGGTTCATGAGTTTAATATGTAAATCAGTGAACAAGTTTCGAAATTTCGTTTGTCGAGTGAAGTGGAGCCCAGAAGCTTTTGTAAATTCGTAGTCATGTTGACTGATTTCCTGGTTTATAGCGAGATTGTGCACCCGGACCAGACAATAATTATTGAGAAGCCCAATTTCTGGTAGAGGGCCAGATTTGTAGAGAAAAATCTTATGTATTCTGCATCAAGCTTACGAATCATCACATGAGGCTATGTAAATGAATTTCCAACCAAAAAATTCTTTTTTCAAAACTTAAATTCCCACTGCGAGCCAGTCGTTTTCCATCGATAGATGAAATAAAACGGTGTTCGCAGCGAAAACTGAAGTTGATTCCAAAAAAAAAAATATTTAAAAATATTGGGAGTGCAACTTAATTCGATCCGTTTTTTTGTATTCCAAAAGTGTTTTTTGTTGAAAAAAAAATTAGATTATTCAAAGTATTGTCCATCGGAAAGTATTCACATCTCTTCAGTAATTTTGGAATAACATAAAATATGTGTCCCCTCAGTCCTCGATCCAAGCATTGCCATTTCTTCAAAAAATCCGACCCGGAACCAGCTAAATAGTTTTACAACCGCCAAAAAAACCAGCAATCGGAAGGAGCAAGGTGTGGAGAATACGGCGAGTGTGGCAAGACTACCCATTTCACCGTTTCCATTAGGCTTAGAACTTTACAGCCACATGGGACCGAAGGTTGTCATGTTCCAAATTCACCTTGTCATGCCTTTCCGTCCTTAATGGCCATTTTTCACGCAATATACGCCTCAAACGTTTTATTTATAGTCAAAATGTTTCGCTTCAATAGAACACCGCGGCCATTTGGTCCCAGCATCAAGTTCTTGAAACGTCAAAACCATTGTCTGCTTGACCTATTGGCTAGCGTAGATTCGCCAACAACTTCCACAAGCTTTTGCTTGGCTTCGAAAATTCAAACTTCCCTCAAATGCGGTTTATTTAACACAAATCGGAACATTTTTGAAGATGGGAAAAACAACAATGCCAAAATTTAGAATTTTTATTTTTATTGGTGGCCCGAAAAAAAGTTCGAAGAATAGAAAAAAATAAAAAAAAATATTTTTATTTTAATTAAAATTTTTTTTTATAAAATTTGAGTCTTAGAAAAGTCTGATATTTTTGAAAATTTTGTTTTTGATTTTTTTTTTTTTAATTTTTTTTATCAACAGGCGATGATTTGAAGGCAATCTGTTTCTATTTGGTTTGAAAAAAAGTTAGATATTTTATGAAACTATTCCCTCATATCCAGGAATAGAAAGGTTAGAAGAAAACCATTCCAATTGGAAATATACTTCAACATATGTATTTTTTACATATGTATGTATGTATGTTTCACAAAGGAAAAATAGTTTTTGAATTATATTTGATTTTTAATTCTAATCAATAACCAATAAGAAATGTATATTATTTACATATATGTATGTATGTATGTATTTACAAATTTACACATATTCCCTGAACCGAGTTAAGTATGCTTAGAAAAAGGAAAATATCTCTTTGACTTCATTTCATGAATTACAACCAGAAGCTGCTTCAGTTTTCTTTGCTTGCTCCTTTGCGCCTATAATATCCGAATCCTGCACCGTTGTTGGCAAGGTGACGTTTGTTGTTTCCGGAAAGAAAAGTGCCAATGCGCCGCTGGTTAACGCACAGATGGCAAATAATATTGCCGGTGCTTTTTCGTGTATGTTGGCCTTGTGGAGAAGAAGAAGAGAAAAATAATTATTAATTTTATTTAGCGAATATTTTTCAAATACACAACTCTAGCTACAATTCTGAGTTTGTTTTGTGTTAATAGAATACAAGTGGGAGACTTTTTTTTGGTTAAAAAACTGTTACTTCTACTCACCAGCACTGGCGTTAGGGGCGCCACCATTGAGCCCACACGCCCCACCATCGAACAGAAGGATAACAAACTGTTGCGCACATTTGTGGGAAAGATTTCTGATGTGAAAAAGTATAATATTTGAAACGCTGCCGTAATCAAAAATTTACCCATTAGGAAAAATATTAAACGCCAAACGAACTCATCTGTAATTAACACAAAAATTTAATAATTTAATATAAATAAAATAAGATAGAATAAAATATAACAAAATAAATTAAAAAATTAAAATAGAACAAAAAAAAAAATAAAAACAATTAAAAAATAGAATAAAATCAAATAAAATTCATTGAAATAAAATATGATAAATAAAACAAAATAAAAGTGCAAAATAAAATAAAATTAAACAGAATAAAATAGAAAAAATGATATATAATAAAATAAAATAAAGTAAAAATGGAAGCGAAATAAATAAATAAATAAAAAATATTATAATCTGAACCTGATACTTAATCCTGTCATTTTTCACTCATCACTCATCATATAGATATATATTATGCCAAGTAAAAAGTTCGTTCGGTTTTATATATTGATTTTTCAAAATATGATGATTTTGTGTACATTTGTCCGATTTAAGTCAAATATGCGCCGTTTTTGCCAACGAGGTGCCAACTTCATTATACCTTTCTCTCGAAGGCTGCGTCCCGATTGGCAAAAAACTCGGAGAGCCAAATTTTCACAGGCCTCTCTTGAGACCAATTTCTCACCATTAAGCGCATTTTCCAAGGACAGGAAAAGATGGTAATCACTTGGTGCCATGTCCGGACTATAAGGTGGGTGCATTAGGACCTCCTATCTGCCAACCAAGCTCCTGGAGCTTCTGGCGCGTCACAAAAGACGTGTATGGTCTGGCGTTGTCCTGATGGACCACAATTTGGCTTCTGTTGATCAAAGATGGCCTCTTCTAGATGAGGGTTGCCTTCAAGCAATCCATTTGTTGGCAGTAGAGGGCCGAATTGAGCGTTTGGCCATGGGGGAGCAGCTTGTAGTAGACGATCCCTTGTCAATCCCACCACACACACACCGGAACGGAACCTAGCAAAACACTTTTGCGCTACATGTTCGTTTACAGTATCAGGCCCATAAACTAAATTAATTTTTCCAGCCGCTTTGGCTGCTTTTTCGCCTCGATCGAAGAAAAATTGTAAAATTCGCTGGTGTCTATTTTTGACGAGCTCTCACAACGTACTGAGCCAATCAATCGAAAATCTGCAAAGACAAACTTTGAGCGCGAACAAACACGTTTTCAGCGCCGTATAGGATGACATGAAGTGACTCGTAAAACTAAGTACTATGGACAATAACGCCGTCTCTTAGATAAAAACCGAACGAACTTTTTTCTTGACCTAACATATATATAATTGGCGCTTTGTAACCGCTGAAGCGAAGTCCTCCTCCAATTTTTGGTTTTGAGTCAAGCAAATGGAGGAACCTACAGTTTATACTAAGCCGCCTCCGAACGGCTGATGGTTTTTTTTACGAGGAGCCTTTATTTCATGTCCGTAATACACTCAGAGGGGCGACCGTATTTAGAAAATTTAACTTAATTTTTTATTTAAATTAATTTTCCAACCAACTTTTTGGATGTTGGTGGCACCGGGATATGAACCCGAGCCTTCCGAATGCCAGTACGCAATGCTAACCACCGCATTGCCACACTTAATAGTTTTTGGTTAATAATGAATTGAATAATACAACAACAGATTATATGGCTGATGTTGGCGGGATGGTAGAGCACTCGCATGTGAAGTCAGGATCCGTTGGTTCGATCTCTGCCATAAGAAGTCTGATGAGGAGATGTGGTTGTCACTTCTACCATTTTTCTTTGTTATATAACATAATATTCAATTCATACAAACAAACCAGAACTTTAGTTTACTTAATACTTATAACAAAATAAATAAAATTAAATTATTGTAAATAAAATAAAATAAAACAAATAATAAAAATAAAGTACAAAGTCTGTATACCTTTCATGAACACACTTATGAAATTTATTGTCTAGAAGAATACAATTAGATGCTTCTTTTGGTACTTCCATAATTCGTATTAAAGTGAAAAGACAATTTGATGTTCATGAAAGGTATAAAAATGACAACTGAGTCAATAAACTTATATCATAAGTAAACCCAGATTACTTCTGTTTATATTGAGTTTATTAACAACTCACCCGTCGGTAGTAAAGCCGTTGTCAAACAACATAAGCCACTTAACAGCATTGTGGCGCACAGCGAGTATCGTCGGCCGAAGCGATTCATGATGAAAATCGGCAGAAAGAAGCCCGGTATCTCGACGAGAGCAATAAACATGAAATTATTATATTTATCACCATCCAAAAGCACTGCATTCAAACTAATGCCATAATACACCAACACAATGACAATCCAACAGAATGAGCAGTTTATAATGCGCCATTTTAAACGCTTAAACGACTCCTTAATGGGAAAACGGCCACCTGTTGCTGTTGCCAACTTCCGACGATTCGACAAAATCAATTTATCCAACGCATGCTCGGGCAGCACACGCTTATTCACCTGCGCCGCACGCTGCAGTATATGCTTAGCATCCTGCTCATTGGCTTGACTTAGCAGCCAACGGATACTCTCTGGCATTATCCAAATGTATGTGATAAACAAAATCGCTGGTACATAAACAATACGCAAAATGATGCGCCAATTTTGATAATACTTTGCCACAACTGCAAGTGCCACCTCACCGATGGCATAAAATATGGTTATAAGGCTGCAGGCCAAAACACGACGCTTCGGACCGACCAGCTCAATGCCTAAAATGAAGCAGACTGAGTACATAGGACTCGATGCGATATTATCGAGAAATTCAAAAATTACAAATGAAATGTAGCTGGGCGAAAAGGAGCGTAAGAGACCCAGAAATGCGCTGAAGAAACCGCCATAAGCGAGCGCAGTGCGACGTCCATAGCTGATGAGCCGGATAGTGTGACGAAAATTATTATAGATTTCAAATTTTATAATATCTTACAATCAACTTACCGATCCGATATAAAACCGCCCAACGGTATGCCAACAAATTGACCCAGATTACCTATGGTGCCCACCATCGCCAGTTTCCACTCGTTCTCGCAGTAAATATTAAACTAAACATTGTTTTTAAACGTAAGTGAAGAAGAGTGAGACAGAAAATTAATTTTATGTATTTTTGTATGTACGCATATTTTTTTTTTAATTAAATTACTACAAACCTCATTGGATATTGTCACTTCTTTGTCTCGAAAAACGAAATCGTTGTCCGTACATCTCTGCCTTTTGTTGTTGTCGAAGTTGTGCGCATAGCAGAGTCCTAGCGACTCATTGGTTGGTAGCTGATTGGCCGTATAATTAGTCTCAAAGCGATTACATTGATCCAAACCACTACTTTTTGTTGGTATACTAAAAGTGGTCCACTGCTCTTCGTAGGCACTGGTTGCTGTGTCGCATTCTGGAATTTTACATCTGTATATACAATGAAATATTTTACTATTTTAAATATTTGGAGAAGGTAGAAGGTTTGCTAAAGTTTAATAATAATGCGGGGGGAGGTAATGTTACGTTAAGATGACTAAGTCCGGTGTGCCGAATGCCCTGAATAATACCAAGCTAATGCTAAACTCATTATTTAGTCTTCAGTTTGAAGAACATTGCTGTTCCCAGTGAATGGCAGTAGTCTTTTGCTCTTTGCTGACCAAAAGTCCTGCAGTTTTTCTGAGCACAGTAGTAGCAGCCTTTGCCTGCCAAATGCTGGATATTCTCATCTGGCTTCCACTTCCACTTTCTCTGCACCCAGCGGCGGGTACTGCATGGAAAATTTTCAAAAAAGAAAAAGTTATTCTCACCATTCCCGTCGATAGTTCTACTTGTAGTCTGGAGTCCAGTCTATTTTTCGCTATTGAAAACATAGTTATGGTGATTATCCAGCCCTTTGATAGTTCCCAAGGTCTATTCACCTGGCGAAGCAATATTATTTATGGCGCCTACTTCACTTGTCTGGTTGGAGCAGCTCATAAGCTAACTTGTTGCCTAAAACTGTTTTTCAAAAGACATTTTTGTATTTCTATTTTTGCCAACGGGGTCTCCCAAGAGCTGTTGGTCAGTTGTTGACTTAATGGCAGGCCGTGCAGAGATAATTTCAGGAAGTGTAGGGTGGCAAGCATGAGTTGGACGTTGGATCATACCATCTGTTTCGGTTTCTGACTTCCGACTTTATCTATGACACGTCCTAGACATCAAATACCCTCGCTGCTCGCAAACTGAACTTCCGCCTGGCGAGACAAAGAACCGACTAGTCTGTGTAAATTGTAGCAACCAAACAGTATCAGATGATCTAAACTGTATTGAGTATGAGACCGACTACTTACTTTATCCAAACAGACTAGTTCTGAAGGTAAAGTATAGGAAAATATGGCCACAGAATCAAATTAAAAAATTTGTACCACACAATTTTTATGAAGCTGTGATTCAGTAAAAAAATGATATCTTAAAATAAATTCTCAATGAGAGCCTACACAACTAGACGGGTATGACATTCGGTTTGAAATTCAAAGGTTAGTCAGTTGGTTGGGTGAAAGGTGAGGTTGAGAACCTGCGCACAAGCCACTGAGTGCTCTCCCGCGTATCTCAACACTTTCAATTTTTTCCAACCTTGCGTGCTCACCTCAATAACTCTGAGTCTGTGAGCCTTGGGAAATATATATGTACATCGCTTAGCGTCATCTTCTGCACATTCTCTCCACCCTACCTAATCCGCCTTGCTTAACTTGTGAGGATATCACAATGGCCAATATCCACAGAACAATTAATACGTTTGTAAACTCTCAACTCATCAACTCAAAACTCTTGTTGTTTTATGGACGTCCTTCACAGGGGTGACCAAACAAAACTAACTGGCTAGACTTCTCATTTGGGTTACTGACTGCAGAGAACAAATAGAGCAACTGGATGACAGGCGAGCCACTACTACTTTCCCTCTGTAAATATCATCGATATGCAGAGACACTATTCATGGTCTGGTTTGGTTGTCGAATAATGTGCTATCGAATAAATCTTTTAATTTCCTACACCTAAGTCTACCCATTTCCGAATGGAGTTTAGGGTATCGTGGAAGCTATGATATAATAAATAATGCTCCAGAGTTTCGTCCTCTTAGTGAAAACGATATGATTTAGACCTAATTAGAATATGTTTGCCGAAGCACACTTGAATGGCTCTGATTTTTAGTACAAGAAAAAATTACAAGAAGATTCTGGACAACGATCGAGTAAGTGTTTCTCTAAGTCAGCAGTCTTAAATATTTTGTACGAATTTTAGAGAAAGCATTTTCAAACCTACCTATGCACTACACTGCTGGCTGTAAAAACGTATGTAACCGAGTAGATTGCACTAAATAACATTGCCACACAAATGAGTAGAAGTATGATAATCTGAAATAGACCCAATTGTCCGATTTGTAGGAGTATCTCATCTAAAGTGGATTCTTCTTCATCAGCCTCGGTGAGACTCCTCTCATAAACAGCGGCATTTTCGACAGCTGCTTTGTTCTTCTGCTCCCCATCAGGCAGATCATATAGATCCTCGTGCGCCTTACTCGGATCCATTTGGTATTTTGAAACCCTTTCAGTTGATTCTAAAATGAGTTTGTTGTATTTTTAAAAAAATTTCTTTTCACACTTTTCACACTCTACACATTTGACACTTTTACATACACTTCACGCTACACAATTCTCGAATAACACGCGCGTATTATTTCAATTTTCGCATCAATGCTTTGCTAAAACCCACTCGCGTTCTGTGAGCTTTTGTTCGACGCACTCAACTGCCGTCCATGCATTGGCTAACGTGTCTCTATATCAGCAGATTGGTTAATTAAGTGTACTTCGCGTCGGCTGTGCTTATCTCAATCTCGTCTCGAGCGTACACTATTCGTTCGATACTTCTTACTGATAACACTGTATCGCTACTTCCCATCAGCCGCTCTGAGTTGGTGCGCCACCAAGGGGTAGGTGCTGGGGCTTGTATGCGAGTCCACTTGTCCACTTGCTATGACTAACATTGCACGAGGTACATGTATATATACATACATATGTAGCTTTGATAAGAAGTGTAGCGTGTAATAGTGCGTATGGCGCTGAGGGATGTAGATGTTGAACTCTGAGTGGTGGGCTCTAGCTTGTTAAAAATTATTTAATCACTCCTAATGGGTTTAATTTTTTATTATCGTTTTTATTATAATATTATATATATTAAGTTTGATAAACGTTTGCTTGAATTTTTAGCATAAATTAGGCACTGATTAGTCCACACGTAAAGGGTAATTTTTTTAGATTTGAGGATTTCTAAACTTTTTTCGGATTTGGCCTTTTCGACAGCTGTTACTTGATTTATACTCCGTTTGCTTTGCCATGACATAATGAACAGGCAAATTTATTACCAAAGCCAATCGCAGTCAACATAATCACCCAGCAGATTTGGTAATTTCGCTTCCGCGTTTCTCAGAGACTCCGTTTAGTGCATACCAAAAACACTTTTGTTGCTGTAAAGCAGAGCATGGAAGAAGACCCGAATGAGTCCATCCGACATCGCACGAAACAATAGGAGCTGTGTCCATCTACTTTATGTAGGATTTTGCGAAAGGATCTCAGTTTGGTGGCTTACAAAATCCAACTCATACAAGAATTGAAGCCCAACGATGCGTCGCATGTTCGATGAATGATCCCTAATCCAGGGGTTCTGATTTCTACAAGATAATTTTGTTCAGCTATGAAGCTTACTTTTGGTTGAACGGATACCCTAATAATCACATTTGGAGTGGTAATAATCCTCGTGACATTGTTGAGACGCTAAAGATATTTTCCGCCGAGCTCATCTTGCAATTAGTGGTCTGCGTCTTCGTGTTGTACATGGATCTACATTTTAGTCTCAGCTCCATCCCAACGAACGATGGATTTTCATCTCCAAAATACGTTTGGACGGATTGACATTCCCTGCCAACCTGGGCGACCGCAATTAAAAAAATTTATATTCTATACGTTTTAAAGGTTGGTCGCAGCAGGACCCAAGCGCTGGCTTTCCGTATGTCTGTACGTAAGGCTAACCAACCGGATATTGAAGGCCTCATCCCTAAGTCGTTGTTTGATATATTCTATGTTCAAATTTTTTTTAAAATAGAGGCATCGTACCTGCTTTAGAGATTAGATTGATTGGAAGATGCTGATGTGGCCTACTTTTGGTTTCCAAACCGCGAAATAAACGATTTATTGACGGAAACTTTTAGTGACCGCATTATCTCGCACCGTGGGTTCGTGGCTGGAGTAGGTTTTGTGTAATCATTCCTTGCAAACTACATGGCAAAAAAAACACCCTTTACATGGTAAGTGTTCATGCGCATGGAATCTAGATCAAAGTGCGAAACTAATTTGGCGAATATTTTTCTTATCAACAAAAATGGTGATGGCGTGAGAATTGTAATATTGCTTTAATTGAATGTTGTTGACGTGAGATTATGTGTTTAATCAATAAGAAAACAACAAACAAAAAACAACAAAAACACCATGTGTAAATATTAACAAGCAATTCATTAAGTGATGAGATCGCTGACCTCAGGCTTTAACTGGTTTGTTGTTTACTCATATACATATATGTACTCATCAATATACAATCAATATATATATATATAGATATATATATATATATTATTTTGTAAAATACTTTCTTTCCTATAGAACCTGCAAAATTATCTATCATTTGTTTAATTTGTCAATTTTAGAGGTTAGATTGTTTGGTTCTTTAGATTTGACTCGAGCTGCTTGACTTTCTTCTACTTCTTCTTCTTTATAACCGGTATCTAGTTGAAGCGATTATGGCCGCTCATGATTCGCTTCCTCTCTCTCTCCAAAGCTGGAGAGCTGTCCTCCAACCAGATTAACTGATTGATCACTACAAAAGTATTCTCCATCTGTAAGTTGTCATTGGCAACTTTGGGCGGTAAGTAGCCAGATTTTTTTTTTACTTCAGTATGAAATTCCATGAATGACATGAAATAAAGGCTCCTCTTAGAAAACCATTAGCCATTCGGAGGCGGCTTAGTATAAACTGTGGGTCCCTCCATTTGTTGGAAACACATTAAGATGCAAAGCCACAAATTGGAGGAAGAGCTCAACCGAAAATCGCTTTAGCGGCTGCAAAGCGTCAATTCCTCCTGCTATGAGCTGTAGAAAACCAACTGTTTGAGCTGTCGTTCCATAGTTTCCTTATATCGGTTTGCCGGCAAGTGCTCTTAGAAAGCTGGTATGCAAGTCTAGTGGAAACTTTCTCGGCTATCTGTTGAGAATTTAGCTTTTCGGGGTCAAACCTTCCTTGTATTTTTTCATGGTCGTTCTTTGTGGCACAGAGGCGGGTGTGTATCTTGACTGCTAAATGGCATTGGTCCGAGTCGATTTTGGCTCCTCAGAGTGTGCATATATTGACTTCAGACATGTCGTCCGTCTATCACTACATAATCGGTTAAGGGCATTGCACATCTAGAACATTGAAGACATGTCTTCCATCAGTTTTTCTAACTGGAAACAGCCAAGTAGATGATATTTCTAGGTACTACTTCTGAAACTGAATGGTCGCGGCAGCTGAGTGGTTGGCATTTCGTACTACCATTCGGAAGGCCTTGGATCAAATCCTGGTACGAACAACATCCAAAAGTCATTGAAAAATAATTTAAATAAAAAATTAAGTTAAATTTTCTAACTGCAGTCGTCAGGATATTTCCACCCCTCCGAGTTCATTTCTGACATGAAATAAAAGCTCCTCATAAAAAACCAACATCCGCTTGTAGCAGCCTCCATCTTGTAGGATATTCATCAAGACGCAAAGCCACAAATTGTAGGAGGAGCTCGGCCGAAAAACTCTTTGACGTTTACAAAGCGCCAATAATGTTATTTATACTTCTGAAGCTACAGACAACTGTATTTCGGTCCCAAATGAGGTCGATCAGTCTTAATCCGTGAAGACTTTACCGTTTTATTTCCCGCGGCCTTGTAGTCGCCAAGCGCATAGCGCTCATAAGTATGTGCGAGGCGCTCACAAAAGTAATCCTTGGTCACATCTTTCGAAGGTTCTGGTTGGTCTGGAAAGGACTCTGGACAATGATACTCCCGGCTGCGGCCGCGGATAGCGCGATAGATCATTGGGTCAGGAATTACATGTAGAAAATATAAAAAGATACACCTTACTTCCGGAAGATGGGCTCATTCGCTTTATTAATACTTAAAATGTAACTGCTTATAACACTCGAATATATCTTAATCCTTATCTTATAAAAAATTAACACCTAAAGAAAGCATTTGCTGAAGGAAACATTAGGAAGAGTATAATCGAACTCGCTAAAGTTTTTAAATATGCCACTATGGGGTTTAAGCGTATTGTAATGGTAGATACTTATATCCTTGAAGTACATGTTCGGCGTCAAGAACTGATTTTCATTTATTGGACGATCCAGCGGATATCCGAATGGTCTGTTATCAATATGACGTTCACCGGTACCGATGCGGCAGTAGGTGGTCGAATCATAACCTTCACCAGAGCCTTCGTATGGCGCAATGTGGAAGAAGAATTGCATTGGATAACCACTCTCCCAACCCTTGGGCAAGAGAAGACGATCTGGGAAGCCACAGCTTGGTTCGCTAATGTTCAAAGGCAATTCGTGTTTGCCATCCATAGCAGCCCTCAGTTGGTGATACAATTCGGTGTAGGTGGGGCGATCCTTTACGGTCCAGTAAAAATCATCAGAAGATCGTTTGATTCTATTCTCACCAGCTGCCAACTCATGAACGAGCTTGTCAAATTCTATAAAGTGATTTTCTTTAAGCGAAATAATACGTCCATTAGCATCGAATTTCGGACCAAAAAAGGCGCGCAATACAACTTTCTGTGGTTTCTCAGAACGCACAATGGCTTCATAGTCGAATGGCTTGTGATTAAGACGCATTTGGCGTGCATACAATGATTTATCCCAAACGAGCTTACCATCATTAAAGACCATTTCCTCATTCAATAAGTTGCTCACATCAAAGTCCACCCAATCGAAATAGGTGACCAATTCACTGACCTCAACATTTTCGATTTTCACATCCTTCATTAAAAGCTCTTCAGTAGTGTAAGGCTCCAGTTTATATTTGTAAAGGTGAAAGGCATCGACGTTCTTCTTGTAATAAGAGTACACAATGGGATCACGCATCATTGTTTCGAAATTCAAGTTAACGCTTGGTTCTACTATGAAATCATCTAATGCCACATTACCCAAGTACATATTGTTGAGCATACTCCAGTAGCGGAAGTAGTTCTTGTCTACAACATCAACGTTGCCTTGCAATAAGCTGCCGATATATTCAACAGATTCTGGCGTATGCAAATCAACTTTTTCACCTTTATTATTGGTAAGGAAACCAGATTCTATGGCATCAAAGATCCGTTTAAATCCATCTTTCATATAATCCAACCCTTCGCAGTTGCCATTCTTTTGGTGATCGAAGTGGTTTATACGCGAGCCGTAACCAACACCATTATGTGAGATCAAGTGTGGATTATAACCATATTCGTAGGGCTGACACCATGATAATTTTGGTATTTTTCCCAGTTCATGGGAAGAGACTTCCATATAGTAACGAGTCAGAATTTGATCAACATTGAATAGCCACCACTCACCACGCCGATCTTTGTCCAAACTGAAAGTTTTGCCCTCCAGGAAGAAAGCATAATCCATGTTCAAGTTGTACCAGTGTTCGTTCCAGCCCAAATCTTCAGTGAAGTATGACAATGCTGAGTGTTCGTTGAGATCTTTTATGTCGCGCGTGTAATCAACTGGATGCCAGAACATTTGAACATTTTTCATGACTGAGGCATATTCAATGTCAGCGATTAGATCCTTACTGTTTTCACGTAGAGGAAAACGCCACTCAGCGGCATGCCAGTGTTCAGCCAGATCCATCAGCTTCCACCATTGGTAGGTCTTGAAGTCTTTCATGTAGAAGTAATCATCGTGGAGGTATTTGTTGCTTTTCTGTTCAAAACCGTCAAGTTCCCGCTCATATTGACTGTACTTGCTCCAAGTAATGTAATCGAACTTCTCTGCAGCGTGTATCAGCTTACTGTTGAAAAAAGATTTCGGCAGTATTTCATAGATTGTAGGCAACATCAGACCCTTGAAGTCATCACGATGAATGACTGTCAAAGTCAACGCGTAGACGAACATGCCTTCGTTGACATGAATGCGCGCCCAAGCGATATTTTGTTGGCAGGTTGCCAAATCCTTCGCAAAGTAGAAGTAGTTGAATAGCCCGTGGGCTTGTTCGTGATGAGATTTAACGAGTGCGCCGAAGAATTCACCTCTGGGCAGGAGTGCGCCTTGTTTGTGGGATTCATAAAAAGCCTTCATATTGGCATCGAATTGCTGTAAAGGATCGTTTAAGCAGCCGTTTGCTGTTAATAAGACACTTTAAACTTACCTGATACTTTTCTTTGTTGTAGACAAGTGTACGCCCCAGCCGTATATGTTCTTCAAACATCGGCGGATCTTCAATACGGTGGACAATTTCGAAAAGGAATTTTTGTTTCTCTAATAGAGCAAGATCGTCAACTGCGGACTTTACGAAGGAAAGCCCAACGATTACCGGAAGAAATATAATGAAATTCATTGTGGCGTCTGCTGTGCTGTGCTTGCTGGTGCGGGTAGAAGACTGTTGATATCAGTGGCATCGGCGCAAGCTTTTATAAAGCAAACATTTGCGGCCTCTGTTTGTTTTGAATAATACAGTATTTGTCGATACCCATATTGGCTGAACATGTGTATCTTTTCTTTTTACTTTTTTTTTGAATAAATATTATCAGGTCAAAAATATTTATTTAACTTTTTTGAAAAAGTAAACAATTTTCAATTTGTTTATGTTTAATTAAATTTTCAGAAATTATTAACCTTTCACCCCAAGAAAACAGATTCGATATTTTTTTTGAACGGAAAAAAATATGAAGCGTGTGATTTGTTTTTTTCCATGATCTATACTTACATATATCCAAATCATAAACAGTTTTTGCCAAACTGTCGCTGATCCGTTTCCCGTAAAGAGAATTATATTTATATTTCTAACAAATTGATCTTGGTTTCAGATCCCTGGTCCAATGCCAGGAGATGAAGGTATTCCATTTAGTCATGCCATCCGAAAATTCAGCTAAAACGTGTCATGAATATGGACATTTTTATAAACGGACCGATCTATATATACCGAATATCATCTGTGGTGATAGGATAACCCAATATATTATATATATATTTATCGCTTTGTAACCGCTAAGGCGACTTTCGGCCGATCTCCTCCTCTAATTTATAGTTTTGTGTCTTGATGTTTTTCCAACAAAATGGAGAGACCTACCGTTTATACAAAGCCGCCTCCGAACGGCACTCGGAGTGGTGGACATTCCCTGCCGATTGGCGACCGCAATAAGAAAACTTCACTTAAATTTTTATTTAAATTAATTTTCTATAACTTTTGGTTGTTGGTCGTACAAGGATTTGAAACTGAGCCTTCCGAATGGCAGTTCGCAATGCTAACTACTTGGCTAGCGCGGTCGACATTACAATACTATATTCTGACAGTCAGGCTGCCTCTAAGTCTCTCCAATGCAACCCTACCACTTCAAAGGTGGCAATAATATATAGAGAAATCTTAAGCAAACTCTTGACTGTATGCAAAAAATCATCATACCAGGCACTTACGAAGTCGAAAAATTGGCGAGAAAGGGAATAGTCATAACCACGTTGTAAACTCTGCACATGGCGTGGTCATACCGCTTTCTTCAGAAAAGTATCTGCTATGACTAGTCCAGGGGCAAACAGAAGATGCCTGAGCGAAACCACGTGCAATGTGACAAGACAAATCTGGCCATTAATCGAGGTAAACAAAACTGAGAATCTACTCCTTCTAAGCCAGAGCTCCATAAGCATAACAATCCGCATTATAACTGCACACTGCCTTATGAAGACTCATAGCACTGTTTCATGGCATTCCATACCAGCTCGTGTGCTACAACACGATCAATTTGGTAGCAATACTTTTCTTGAGGTTACAGCCAGCTGGTTGGATAGATTCCATTGTAGCTGAGTTTGGTAAAATAGCCAGTTTGGATAGAGGAGGTAGACGTTCCTCTACTGGGCGAAACGATAGTTCTCGGCGACAAAGTATCTCAATACCAAACTTGCGCTCCATTATTTAGCCGGTAGCTGTAGTAAATATCACAAGGATCTACTCGTTTCCGTTCTTATCCCATCCAACGCATTTCTTGGATGGCGGTGATGCCAGCTTTAAGTCTTACGAGGACATCTATCATGCATATAAAGCGATTTCTTCCATATTAAAGGATCGACCATTTCCTCAAAATATTTGAAGGGCTCGTCATCAAAAATGTTGCCCGAGGATTACTGTTTGCATCTTTAGCAGTCTCATTTTTTGTGGTTCAAAGCTTGTTTTCTCTTTTTTACCTTTCCATTCAATACAATCGACCGAGGTGTAGTGTGATTTGAGTTCTTAAGCACTCAATCAGTACAGGTATATTTTCAAATAATGTGATAATAATTGCTATCAATTACTAGGGCTGAGTATTTAGCATCACATATATATATAGTACTTAAAGTGTTTTATTACTGCAATATATTAATTGAAGTAAACTAATTAGTTTTTTTGTTTTAATTTATTATTTCGTGAGATAATTGTAGTACATATATATATATTATATGTTTGTACAAGTATATTTCTATGCAAAAATTTTTGAATTTTCCGGGGAGAAAATATTAAGAATTTGGTACCTAACTTTCAAACGGCTGGATCTGATATCTGATACCTGCAGAAATACTAAAGGCAATAGCCGTTGGCGGTCGCAATAGCCGAGTGGTTAGCATTATGTACTGCCTTGTGTTCTCAAGACTATTGGGTTCGAGTCCCAGTTCGACCAAGAGTAGGTTTAGAAAATAAGTCTTTTCATTTCTCCTTTAATAAAACAATTTTTTTTAATTTTAAATTCTTCTTTATTATTATTGTATATACTAAACACATACATATGTTGTTAAATAACTTGTTTCAAAATTGTATTAATATTATTAATACCACATTTTATTTTTAAATTTTGTGTTTGAATTGCCGATATTATTATTAGTATTTTTTATATCTTAGTTTATGCCATATATTTTATTATTATTTTAAGGAGAAAAATATGACAAAAAAAATTTTTCTCCTTAAAATACATACGTACAAGTACTGCTAAATAATTACTGTGGCACAGGCGATAAAATGTACTGCTAGTTCTGGCAACTGTTGTCTAGATTGGCACAATTTTTTTTTTTTTTTTGGAAAATTATATAGTGTGTTATTATTGTGAAGAAACAATTATAATTACAGAAAAAAATTTCAAGCATTAAAAAAGTAGTTTATTTCTAAAATATTTTTATTTAATTATTTTATTTTTATTTTTTCTTTGTTCCTCATATTGTATAGAACAAATGCTTTGAAAATAAGTTAGCATATTATTCTAAGAAAAATGTACATTCAAATAATTTTGAATAAATGTTTTTGGCATTACATTTATTTCTAATACACAAATATTTTTTTTTATTATTTAATATTAATTTTTTTAATACATTTTTTTTTGTTTTGCTAAGAAGCTCATATTGTACAGAAGATTTTCTCTAATGTCAAACAACTGTAAATATGCATATAAATTTATATGCATGTGTGCAACATACATTTGTGTGTGTATATTTCCATAAATAATTAAATACTTTTTATACATAATATATCTTTTTAAATGCGTTGATAAATATATCTGTGTATGTAAGCATGCTTATTAATTATGTATTCAATGTTTGTAAGTAATTAGGTGATTATTAATTATTTATTTTTGTATGTATATGTATAAGCAATAATGCACTTGATTGCAAATATGATGTAAATATGTTATATGAATTTATATTTATATTTTCAACTTCTAATAATACACATATGTATGTACAGAAGTAATAATTATGTTTAAGTTTGGTGTTTGCTTAAAAAATATTAATTTTATATTTGCTTTTTTATTGGTAGTAAAGATGAAAGAAGAAAAACACTGCTGGCGCATATTAAGAATAACAAAAAATTATTTGCAGTGTTTATTAAACAAAGTGAGAAAAAATATACGAAAAAGTAAGAGAAATTTAGTTTTTATTTTTATAATTTTTTTAATATTATTCAGTATTTTTTTATAATTATTTGAATTTATAATTTTATTTTATTAACTTTTTATATATTGTTTTATGGGTTTTTACTTATTATTTTTTTTTGCAAATATTTTACTCACTTATATTAACTTTTATGCATTTTTATTTTAATAAGTATTTTTTCATAATTGTTTGATATTTTAGTTTTATTTTATTGAATAATTTTTTTTATGATATGTGTTTCTATAAATTTTTCTATTTCCTATTATATTATTTTTATAGTTATTTAATTTTATTATTTGCTTTTATTTCTAACTCTTTTTATTTTTATTTTTTTTTATTTCATTCACTTAATAATTTTTTTAAATATATTTTTTATAATTGTATTTATTTTAATGCAGTGTTGTTTTTATACTTAAATTTCCTTATTATTTTCCTTGTTAGATTTCTTATTTCCTTGTTAGATTTTTATATATTTTTTATAGTTTTTCATCCTTCAATTATTTATTTTCCTTATATACATTTCTTATAATTTTTTTATTCGATTTAGTATTTTTTAATAGTAATTAATTTTCTTTAATATTTTTTTATTGTAAATATTTTATTTTATTCACTGATTTATATTTTTATATATAATTTCTATAATTTTTAATTTTATTTATTAATATTTTCAATTTCTTGGTATGCAAAATTTTTATTATTATTTCATTTTGTTCACTTATGTTACTTTTTTATATTTTTATAATTTCTATATTTGACTCAGTATTTATTATATGTATTTGATGTTATTATTTTCTTTTAATTTCACATTTTTTTGTTGTTATTATAGTTTTTTTTTATGTTTTCACTATAACAAACAATTTTGTATACATTTTTTTTTTTCGTCTATTTTTTATAATTGTTGATATTATTATTATTATAATATATTATGAATGAATGAAAAAGTCACTTTTTATTTTTTTATACCTTTTCATATCTATTCATTATTTTTTATTATTTATTTTATTCACTTGCAGCATTAAAAACTTGTTAAATCATTTTTTTAAAATTGTATTCGCTGAAATTTTTAAAATTTCTAGTTGAAAATGTTAATAACGTTGCAGTGAAGTCAATAAAAATGCATATATATATATAATATAAAATATTAAAAAGAAATGTATATATACATATAATATTAAATTAAATTTTGTATGGTTCATAAAAATCACTCATACGCAATGGTGTTCATATCAATGAGTGGAATCTTAATTTATGCAATAAAGTTAATGTTATTGTCTGGTGAAAAGAAAATTAATTACAAGAAAGTGATGCTTTTCTTTAGATGCTATTTTCGAACATCCAACATTAATTACACTGAGGCAAAGACTTTTAATTAATAAATATATAATAATGTAAATATTTCATACTTTGTGGTTCTTTAACTATAAATTAGCTTAGCATTTTTCGGATTTT